TTTTTTTATAAAAAAAACAGACCTCAGGGGACTGAGACAATTTTTTCGTTAGGAAAACACAGCTCAGGGGATCTGAGGAATTTCTTCTATAGAAAAACAGACCTCGGGGGAAAAGAGAATTTTTTTCTAAAGAAAAACAGACCACAGGGGTCCTGAGGATTTTTTTCCATAGAAAAACAGACCTCGGGGGAACTGAGAAATTTTTTTCTAAACAAAAACAGACCACAGGGGTCCGGAGAAATTTTTTTCCATAGAAAAACAGACCTCAGGGGACCTGAGGAATTTTTTTCTATAGAAAAACAGACCTCAAGGGAACTGGAAACTAAATGATTTTATTCAAAATATATTTTGTGTAAAATATAATCGAAACAATAATTTAAGTAGAAAATTCTGTGGATAATTCCGTCTGTCCGTCTGTCCGTCTGTTGGTGTTTAATTGTAAACAAAGTACAGGTCGCATTTATAATCCTATTTGGGTGAAATTTGGTACAGCTCATTTGTTTGGCCCAAGGATTTAGACATAGCTCCCATACATATTTTCGTCCGATTTAATGTAAATAGTGCACAAAAGTCCCTATATAACTTTCGATTTGCACGAAATTTGGAACATCGTACTGAAATAAGACTAGAATAATATGTTTTAAGTTCCTGAAAATCGGTTCATATTTATATATAGCTCCCATGTATATTTTCGTCCGATTTAAGGTAAATGGTTTACCAAAGTCCCTATATATCTTTCGATTTGCACGAAATTTGGCATAGCGTGCTGAATTGAGTCTAGAATGATGTGTGCTAAGATTCGTGGAAGTCAGTTCAGATTTAGATATAGCTCCCATGTATATTTTCGTCCGATATAAGGTAAATGGTGCACCAAAGTCCCTATATAACATTCGATTTGCATGAAATTTGGCATATCGTACTGAATTAAGACTAAAATAATATGTTATAAGTTTCATGAACATCAGTTCAGATTTAGATATAGCTCCCATGTGTACTTTTGTCCGATTTTATGTAAATGGTGCACCAAAGTCCCTGAAAATCATTAGATTTGCACGAATTTTTGGCGTAGCGTGCTGAATTGAGTCTAGAATGATGTGTGCTAAGATTCGTGGAAATCGGCTCAGATTTAGATATAGCTCCCATATATATTTTCGTCCGATTTAAAATAATTGGTGCAACAAAGTCCCTATATATCACTCGATTTGCACGAAATTTGACACAGCGTACTGAATTAAGCCAAGAATGATGAGCGCTAAGTTTCATGAAAATCGGTTCTGATTTAGATATAGCTCCCACATATATTATCGTCCGATTTAAGGTAAATGGTGTACCAAAGTTCTTATAAATCCTTCGATTTGCACGAAATTTGGCACAGCGCACTTAATTGAGTCTAGAATGATGTGTGCTAAGTTTCTTTAAAATCGGTTTAGATTTAGATATAGCTCCCATATATATTTTCGTTCGATTTAAGGTAAATGGTGCACCAAAGTCGGTATATATCTTTCAATTTCCACAAAAATTAGCACAGCGCACTTAATTGAGTCTATCTTCCATATATATTTTCGCCTGACTTAATGTAAGTGGTGCACCAAAGCCCTAAATTTTTTCTAAAATTTTTCCGATTGGCACGAAATTGGGCAATCGGAAAACTGAATTAAATCTAGAATGATGTGTGTTAAGTTTTTGAAAAATCTAAAGATGATTTGTCTGTTCTATCTACTGGATATTGTATATATTAGCGCCTCTTGTATGTACGCATAGTGTTGATGGATATCATTTAGTCGGCCCCGTCCGACTTTTGATCTTTCCTTACTGTTTTTTTTATTTATGTTCCCGCCACCCACATTGAAAACTATTATTTCAAATTAAAGTTATATTGATCGGCTACAATTAAGTTATCAAAACACCTGCATATTTGACTAAACTTCCACAAACGATTTTATTACTTGTTAATTAAAAAAATTGGTAATGTATTTGTATTTGTTGCCTTCAGACAACAAATCATCAAATTTCCGTAAATAATACCAATAATAAACTCTTCGCCACTGATATGACTAAAAAAAATTATAGAAAATCTCAAACCTAATGAAAACATATTGAGGGTTGATTTTGCACGTCCATCGAAGTTATAATAACCGATTGAGGCAGTGGCGTAGGTGAATTAAAATCCAATTCCCTGATATAATAACACTTATTTTCTTTGCTTGCATAAAGTTACATACACTCCACTAAAATCGGTTTGCAACGCCTATGATTTCAATATCAAAAAAAATCCAATCAAATTTTGTATTTTTCTCTCGCATGTTCGTGGCTCTCCTTAGCCAGACTTTCACGCATCACATGTGTGTGTTGAAAAATTTAATAGCTTTTATTTGCTTGGTTAATGTTTCGACGATTTTATTATTTTTTGTTTAAATATTAAAAATGCAATAATATCATGTTGTTGGGAAATAGGTTTATATACAACAAAAAAATACTATTTTGCAAAAAATCGTAAAAACCTACATTTCACTTTGATTGCATCAAACTAACAAAATATTTTGCAAATTTTGTTAAATGCATTTTTTCATAGATCATTTTTTTATTTATTTTCTGAAAAAAAAAAATAATTAAATTATGAAATTTTATAATATATTAATTTTCTCCATTGCGTACACCTCCCATGTTGAGGAGAGTGATTTTCTTTTCTTTACCTTTTGTTAACGACACTATTAATTGCTTAATTATGCTGTTAAGTCTAAACGTTGTGTGTGTGTGTGTAAACATTATAATATTTTTAATTATATATGTGTAGAGATGTAAACATTAGTCATTCATTGACTTACCGTGTCTTGTCACGGTGACACTTTCAGTAGAAGACTTACACCAGCAGTAAAAGACTTACTCCATTTAAAGACTCTCTTTAATGGAGTATGGGTAAGCAAGCAAGCATCACAAACAAAAGACTTAAGCAACAAACCTGTATGAGTTGATTCAACGTCATATTCGCTAGGCTAGGCTAGCCAAATTGTTATTAATTGCCTTGCAAGATAATGTTGTCAAATGGTGAACAAATTGTTGAGTTTTTCGCATTAATTACGATTACGTATTAGAGAAAAAAGGTATATATACATGATATAGTTTATTTACATCAATTAACGATAAATGGTATAATTTTTTATCAGATTATGTAGCTCTATAAGATTTTATAATAAGTTTTGCATAAAAATAGTTTTTATTATTAATTTCTTTTTTTTTGTGATAATTTGTGTCTATAAAAAAACAGACCTCAGGGGACCTGAGAAATATTTTTCTATAGAAAAACAGACCTCAGGGGACCTGAGGAATTTTTTTCTATAGAAAAACACACATTTTTTTCTATAGCAAAACATAGCTCAGGGGACCTGAGGATTTTTTTCTATAGAAAAACAGACCTCAGGGGACCTAACGAATTTTTTCTATAGAAAAACAGACCTCAGGCGGGCCTGAGGATTTTTTTTCTATAGAAAAACAGACCTCAGGCGGGCCTGAGGAATTTTTTTCTATAGAAAAACAGACCTCAGGCGGGCCTGAGGAATTTTTTTCTATAGAAAAACAGACCTCAGGCGGGCCTGAGGAATTTTTTTCTATAGAAAAACAGACCTCAGGCGGGCCTGAGGAATTTTTTTCTATAGAAAAACAGACCTCAGGGGACCTGAGGAATTTTTTCTATAGAAAAACAGACCTCAGGCGGGCCTGAGGATTTTTTTTCTATAGAAAAACAGACCTCAGGCGGGCCTGAGGAATTTTTTTCTATAGAAAAACAGACCTCAGGCGGGCCTGAGGAATTTTTTTCTATAGAAAAACAGACCTCAGGCGGGCCTGAGGAATTTTTTTCTATAGAAAAACAGACCTCAGGCGGGCCTGAGGAATTTTTTTCTATAGAAAAACAGACCTCAGGCGGGCCTGAGGAATTTTTTTCTATAGAAAAACAGACCTAAGGCGGGCCTGAGGAATATTTTTCTATAGAAAAACAGACCTCAGGCGGGCCTGAGGAATATTTTTCTATAGAAAAACAGACCTCAGGCGGGCCTGAGGAATATTTTTCTATAGAAAAACAGACCTCAGGCGGACCTGAGGAATATTTTTCTATAGAAAAACAGACCTCAGGCGGACCTGAGGAATATTTTTCTATAGAAAAACAGACCTCAGGCGGACCTGAGGAATATTTTTCTATAGAAAAACAGACCTCAGGCGGACCTGAGGAATATTTTTCTATAGAAAAACAGACCTCAGGCGGACCTGAGGAATATTTTTCTATAGAAAAACAGACCTCAGGCGGACCTGAGGAATATTTTTCTATAGTAAAACAGACCTCAGGCGGACCTGAGGAATATTTTTCTATAGAAAAACAGACCTCATGCGGACCTGAGGAATATTTTTCTATAGAAAAACAGACCTCAGGCGGGCCTGAGGAATATTTTTCTATAGAAAAACACAGCTCAGGGGACCTGAGGAATTTTTTTCTATAGAAAAACAGACCTCAGGGGACCTGAGGAATTTTTTTTCTATAGAAAAACAGACCTCAGGGGACCTGAGGAATTTTTTTCTATAGAAAAACAGACCTCAGGGGACCTGAGGAATTTTTTTCTATAGAAAAACAGACCTCAAGGGAACTTAAAATATTTTTCTATAGAAAAACAGACCTCTGTGAACGTGAGGAATATTTTTCTATAGAAAAACAGACATCACGGGACCTGAATTAGAAAAACAGAAGGGACCTGAAGAATTTTTGTGTTGAAAAACATTGTGTTATTGTCACTCATTGTGTTTGTTTTTCCCATGCCTCGAACGGATCGCATGCGATCTCTAGCTGTTATTTTTATTGTTATTTTATTTAAATATAAATATATTTATGGTTAATTGTATTCCAATAGATTTGCTTTTCCGAACTCTATTGTTAGACAATTTTTTTTTTTAAACTTCGTTGACTTGATTTTGAATTGAATATTTTGTTGTTTTTTTTTTCATGATCGTTTCAGTGCCTGTCAAGTTTGCACACCCAATGCCACCAACACCGTTTGGTCTCACTGTCAATGCGTCTTGGCTGATGGTGTTGAGCGAGGTATCTTAACCGCCAATCGTATGATACCCGGTCCCAGTATACAGGTGTGTGAAAATGATAAAGTTGTCATCGACGTCGAGAATCACATGGAGGGTATGGAGGTAACCATTCATTGGCATGGTATCTGGCAGAGAGGATCGCAGTACTATGATGGTGTGCCATTTGTGACACAGTGTCCCATTCAGCAGGGCAATACATTCCGGTATGTTTGGGGAATGGGAAAAAATTAAATTTCTTATTGGCTAATTGTTCTCTCCCCTTTCAGTTACCAATGGACTGGCAATGCTGGTACCCACTTCTGGCATGCTCACACTGGTCTCCAGAAATTAGATGGTCTCTATGGCAGCATCATTGTACGTCAGCCCCCCTCCCGTGATCCCAACTCCCATTTGTATGACTTCGATTTGACCACACACATTATGTTGATCAGTGATTGGTTGCATGAAGATGCCGCTGAACGTTATCCTGGCCGTTTGGCTGTCAACACCGGTCAAGATCCTGAATCGCTGCTGATCAATGGCAAAGGTCAATTCCGTGATCCCAATACCGGCTTCATGACAAATACCCCCTTGGAAATATTCACCATTACACCCGGTCGTCGTTATCGTTTCCGTATGATCAATGCTTTCGCTTCAGTGTGTCCCGCACAGGTGACAATCGAAGGTCATGGACTGACAGTCATTGCCACAGATGGTGAACCAGTACATCCGGTTGATGTGAACACGATTATTTCATTCTCTGGTAAGTCGAACGGACAATTGTTTTGCATAATATTTTGAATTGAATTAAATTGTTGTTATTGTTTTAATTGTTCGAATGAAAATGAAGGTAGAGATGTGGGTCGTGGAACCGATAAACCGAATCAGTAATAAAAAATTGAACAATTATAATCAATGGAAAATTCTATAAATATTTCCATAGGCCCCCTGAGGTCTGTTTTTTATAGAAAAAAATTTCCCCTGAGGTCTGTTTTTCTATAGAAAAAAATTCCTCAGGCCCCCTGAGGTCTGTTTTTCTATAGAAAAAAAATCCTCAGGCCCCCTGAGGTCTGTTTTTCTATAGAAAAAAATTCCTCAGGCCCCCTGAGGTCTGTTTTTCTATAGAAAAAAATTCCTCAGGCCCCCTGAGGTCTGTTTTTCTATAGAAAAAAATTCCTCAGGCCCCCTGAGGTCTGTTTTTCTATAGAAAAAAATTCCTCAGGCCCCCTGAGGTCTGTTTTTCTATAGAAAAAAATTCCTCAGGCCCCCTGAGGTCTGTTTTTCTATAGAAAAAAATTCCTCAGGCTCCCTGAGGTCTGTTTTTCTATAGAAAAAAATTCCTCAGGCCCCCTGAGGTCTGTTTTTCTATAGAAAAAAATTCCTCAGGCCCCCTGAGGTCTGTTTTTCTATAGAAAAAAATTCCTCAGGCCCCCTGAGGTCTGTTTTTCTATAGAAAAAAATTCCTCAGGCCCCCTGAGGTCTGTTTTTCTATAGAAAAAAATTCCTCAGGCCCCCTGAGGTCTGTTTTTCTATAGAAAAAAAATCCTCATGCCCCCTGAGGTCTGTTTTTCTATAGAAAAAAATTCCTCAGGCCCCCTGAGGTCTGTTTTTCTATAGAAAAAAATTCCTCAGGCCCCCTGAGGTCTGTTTTTCTATAGAAAAAAATTCCTCAGGCCCCCTGAGGTCTGTTTTTCTACAGAAAAAAATTCCTCAGGCCCCCTGAGGTCTGTTTTTTTACAGAAAAAAATTCCTCAGGCCCCCTGAGGTCTGTTTTTCTATAGAAAAAAATTCCTCAGGCCCCCTGAGGTCTGTTTTTCTATAGAAAAAAATTCCTCAGGCCCCCTGAGGTCTGTTTTTCTATAGAAAAAAATTCCTCAGGCCCCCTGAGGTCTGTTTTTCTATAGAAAAAAATTCCTCAGCTATCCTGAGGTCTGTTTTTCTATAGGAAAAATTCCTCAGGGACACTGAGGTATGTTTTTCTATAGAAAAAAAAATCCTCAGGGACACTGAGGTATTTCCTCAGGTCTCCTGATGCTCTGATCTATGTTTATCTAAAGAAAAAATTCCTCAGCATGCTCCACCATAACACGCTGCCCTGCTGTGCTACAATGTGACACATGTTCAATGTCTCTAGTTAAGACATTCAATAGCTGTCTAATTAGCGTTGCAACAAAATCCGCTTTTGTCACTGTGTGGCCAGCCATTTTCAGTCATAACACCCTGGTGATTGTTGTTACCTCTTAATTTGCATAACAAAAGCCATTTAAATGTGATTATTGTCGGAATTAGTTTCAAGAATGTGGAACACCCTCCCATATCGAAGTGAAACATAAAACCACATTATTTCCGATTCTTGTTTTGTTTTTGTGGTGAGGTTTTTTAATAATTTTTGGTTAATTTGTTTATAATTATACAGGGTTCTGTATAATTTTGACTTTTTGTTGTAATTTTAAACGAGATAATGTGATTTTGTTGTTTTTGGAAAAAAAATATATCTACATGGAATGCAGCAAGCAATCGACAATTGGTGTGAATTTATGTTTGCGGTAATTACTTGAAAACAAGGTTCTTTGTTGAATTAGTTCTGCATTGATTTCCCAGGTGATTGGGGCCAAGAAAAAAAGAAAGTTAGCGAAATAAAAAATAAAGTCTAATCCATAATAATAATCCGATATCACATAGAAACCATTTTCATATAGAGGCTCAACAAAATTGCCTCTTCTCCAGAGTCTCGAAAAACCCCACCCTGCTCACCTGAAAAAAATCTGTACCACATGTTTGCCAACATTGTGGCAAATTACAATTTTTTTGTTCACCAGGAAGCGAACAAATATGAACGTCAGCGGGTAACCACAGTACGGAGCTTCGCCACAATTCACGTGATTAATTATGAAATTGTCATCTTCGTTTTTCGAATAGCATTCCGAATCAAACCACAACAAAGTTGTTAACATGATTGACACAACCATCCATCACATCTTCAACTTCAAGGGAACATGCCGCTTATTGTGTGGTTCAAATTATTATTAGAGAAAAACCCAGTAAGGAAAGTAAAAAAGTCGGACTGGGCCGACTATATGATACGCTTCAACATACTTTGGGTATATTGTACATAACGATTTCCACGAAACATAGCACTCATTATTCTAGACTTAATTCAGTACGCTATGCCAAATTTCGTGCAAATCGAAAGATATACAGGGACTTTGGTGCACCATTTACCTTAAATCGGACCAAAATATATATGGGAGCTATATCTAAATCTGAACTGATTTTCACGAAACTTAGCACACATAATTCTAGGCTTAATCCAGTACGCTGTGCCAAATTTCGTGCAAATCGAAATATATTTAGGGGACTTTGGTGCACCATTTACCTTAAATCGGACCAAAATATATATGGGAGCTACATCTAAATCTGAACCGATCTTCATGAAACTTAGCACACATTATTCCAGACTCAATTCAGTACGTTATGCCCAATTTCGTGCAAATCGAAGATATTTAGGGAACTTCGGTGCACTATTTACCTTAAATCGGACGAAAATATATATATTAGCTATATCTAAATCTGAACCGATTTTCACGAAACTTAGCACACATCATTCTAGACTCAATTCAGTACGCTATGCTAAATTTCATGCAAATCGAAAGATATTTAGGGGACTTTGGTGCACCATTTACCTTAAATCGGACGAAAATATATATGGGAGCTATATCTAAATCTGAACCGATTTTCACGAAACTTAGTACACATCATTCTAGGCTCAATTCAGTACGCTGTGCCACATTTCGTGCAAATCGAAAGATATTTAGGGGACATTGGTGCACCATTTACCTTAAATCGGACGAAAATATATATATATGGGAGCTATATCTAAATCTGAACCGATTTGCACGAAACTTAGAACACATCATTCTAGACTCAATTCACTACGCTATGCCAAATTTCGTGCAAATCGAAAGATATTTAGGGAACTTCGGTGCACCATTTACCTTAAATCGGACGAAAATATATATGTGAGCTATATCTAAATCTGAACCGATTTTCACGAAACTTAGCACACATCATTCTAGGCTTAATTCATTACGCTGTGCAAAATTTCGTGCAAATCGAAAGATATTTAGGGGACTTTGATGCACCATTTGCCTTAAATCGGACGAAAATATATATGGGAGCTATATCTAAAAATGAACCGATTTTCACGAAACTTAACACATATTATTCTAGGCTTAATTCAGTACGCTGTGCAAAATTTGGTGCAATAGAAAGATAAATAGGGACTTTGGTGCACAATTTGCCTTAAATCGGTTGAAGATATATATGGGAGCTATATCTAAATCTGAACCGATTTTTTCGAAACTTAGCACACATCTTTCTAAACTCAATTCAGTACGCTGTGCCAAATTTCGTGCAAATCGAAAGACAAATAGGGACTTTGGGGTACCATTTACCTTAAATGGGACGAAGATATATGGGAGCTATATCTAAATCTGAACCGATTTTTTCCCAATTTCAATAGGGTTCGTCTTTGGGCCAAATAAGTGACTTGTACCTAATTTCATCCAATTCGAATCATAAATGCGACCTGTACTTAGGGTCCTGAAAAATAATTGTTAAAAAAATCTGCGCCTTGTGTAGGGTCCTGAAAATAATTTTTAAAAAATCCACGCCTTGTTTAGGGTCCTAAAAATAATTTTTAAAAAATCCCCGCCTTGTTTAGGGTCCTAAAAATAATTTTTAAAAAGCCAAAAAATCCCCGCCTTGTTTAGGGTCCTGAAAAATAATTTTTAAAAAATCCACGCCTTGTTTAGGGTCCTGAAAAATAATTTTTAAAAAATCCACACCTTGTTTAGGGTCCTGAAAAATAATTTTTAAAAAATCCACGCCTTGTTTAGGGTCCTGAAAAATAATTTTTAAAAAATCCACGCCGTGTTTAGGGTCCTGAAAAATAATTAAAAAAAAACCACGCCTTGTTTAGGGTCCTGAAAAATAATTTTTAAAAAACCCGCCATATTTAAAAAAATACCCGCCTAGTTTAGTGTCCTGAAAAATAATTTTTAAAATATCGACGCCATATTTAAAAAATCTACGCCTTGTTAAAGGTCCTTAAAAAAATGTTAAAACAATTCACCCCATATTTAAAAAATCCACACCTTGTAGGGACTGGACAAAAATTTGTAAATCCACCCCTTGTTTAGGGTCTGGAAAAATGTTTAAAATTCCACGCCATTTGACCAAATAAATATTGACCGATTATCACGAGAAAAGCCAGGTTTGTTGCATTCCTATTTTTATCCTATAGAAAAAATACGATTAAAGTTCTATTCAATTCCTTTAGACCATCCCATATTAAAAACCAATCGAAATACCATATCCAATTACATTTGTCACCTAAGTATTCGAAAAAAAAAACAAATTCCAAAACAGATTGTAATAAATCGCTTTCAATAATCCGATTGCTTTTTCATGATTTACAACAACAATAGGTGGTAAAACAAAAACAAATAAAAATTATATTTAAACCCCACTTGCATTATTCACCATTCAAACAAACAAATCCTTTCACTTGCCAATAGCAAATTCTTAAAGCAAACAAAGTAGCCAAAGCAGCAGCTCAATAGCCTTCCGCCAGTCCCCCGATGACGATAAATAAATCTGATCATAATGTGCCACCACCACCCATGGACAGCGAAGAACATCGAATTGGCATTAATCCAAAACTAAATCTGCCAATGCTCAGGCTTTGAGGTCAAGTTTATGTCAGGTTGTCATAATTAAATTAACCAGAAGTCGAGAATTAATGTCTGTGTTTGGAGAATTTTTTTCCAGCCATGGAAGACAATGCAAATGGAACGATAGACAAACATACAGAAAGACAGACAGACACAGATGTGTGGTCATTTAGACAACAGGAAAAAAGGAACAAATCGAAATGTGAATGACGAGGTTCGAGTGATAAATCAGTTAATCGATAAATCTGTTCGAATTAATTGACAAATTAGCCATGGCAATGATTTGTCATCGAACTAATTGCTGAGGAGGAAGGGTACGCCTTAATGTCCGATGTTATCAAATCACACACACACACCCTTTGAGGAAGGGGTGTGTATTTGTGTAAGTGCCATAGTTTGTACCATTTGCCACGACAAGACCGTCTGCTTAACAAGATGTTTTACTATTTTATATTCTAAGATTACACAGTCACACACACACACCTTCGCACACCTATACCACCTATTAATTAATACCAATTACAACAATAAATAATAACTTAAATGGTTTTTGTTTTATGAAAAAACAAATTACTATGACAATCGCAAGAGCTCTTAACCACATCAAAGATAGCTCTGTCGTCGATCGAACGAATGAACGATGGGGTCTTTTGGTGTGGCTACACCTGCATTTTAGCAGCTCTGCTTCTACTTTAGTCGCTCCAATGGATAATTACCCCCACCAAATCGAACTTTTAATGGCTTTACAGACACCTTTTGTAAAACAGAGGACAAACAGCCAGAAAGAAAAACGACATCAGCTAAACATCAATTTGTGTAATCGAATACAACAACAACAACAAAACGACGACAACAAAAGATATTTATGTGCGCACTTTAAACGCTCACTAAGCACTCGCGGCTACTGGCTCGTTAAACTGAACTCAAGAGTGACAAATAAATATTGCAAAATAATACAAATAAAAGCCAGTGAGCGGAGCAGTATAGTCGGACGGGGCCGACCATATGATACCCTTACAATTTCATGTCAATGTTCCCTCGAAGGAACATATTCCTGTCCTTCTTCAGTACCCTATGCCAACTTTCGTGCAAATCGAAAGATAAGGGGCGTTGGTGCACCATTTACGTAAAATCGGACAAAAACATATATGGGAGCTATATCTAAATCTGAACCGATTTTCACGAAATTCAACACACATATTTCTAGTCTTAATTCAGTATGCTGTGCAAAATTTCGTATAAATCGAAGGATATATAGAGACTTTGGTGCACTTTTTACCTAAAATCGGACGAAAATATATATGGGAGCTATATATAAATCTGGACCGATTTTCACGAAACTTAGCACACATCATTCTAGACTTAATTCAGTATGCTGTGCCAAAATTCGTGCAAATTGAGAGATATATAGGGTCTTTGGCGCACCATTTACCTTAAATCGGACGAAAATATATGTGGGAGCTATATCTAAATCTGACCCGATTTTCTCGAACCTGAGCACACATCATTCTACGTTAATTCAGTACGATGTGCCAAATTTCGTGCAAATCGAAGAATATATAGGGTCTTTGGTGTACCACTTACTTTAAATCGGACGAAAATATATATGGTAGCTATATCTAAATCTGAACCGATTTTCACGAAACTTAGCACACATCATTCTGGACCTTATTCAGTACGATATGCCAAATTTCGTGCAAATCCAATGATATATTGGGACATTGGTGCACCATTTACATAAAATCGGACGAAAATATATATCTGAACCGATTTTCACGAAACTTAGCACACATCATTCTAGGTTTAATTCAGTATGCTGTGCCAAATTTCGTGCAAATCGAAGGATATATAGGGTCTTTGGCGCGCCATTTACCTTAAATCGGACGAATATATATCTGGGAGCTATATCTAAGTCTGAACGGATCTTCACGAAACTTAGCACACATCATTCTACTCTTAATCCATTACGCTGTGCAAAATTTCGTGCAAATCGAATGGTATATAGGGACTTGGGTGCACCATTTACATAAAATCGGACGAAAATATATTTGGGAGCTATATCTAAATCTGAACCGATTTTCACGAAATTCAACACACATATTTCTAGAATCAATTCAGTACGCTGTGCCAGATTTCGTGCAAATCCAATGATATATGGGGACTTTGGTGCACTTTTCACCTAAAATCGGACGAAAATATATATGGGAGCTATATCTAAATCTAAACCGATTTTCACGAAGCTTAGCACACATCATTCTGGACCTAATTCCGTACGATGTGCCAACTTTCGTGCAAATCGAAAGATATTTAGGGACTTTGGTACACCATTTACCTTAAATCGGACGAAAATATATATGAGAGCTATATCTGAATCTGTACGGATTTTCACGAAACTTAGCACACATCTTTCCAGACTTAATTCAGTACGCTGTGCCAAATTTCGTGCAAATCGAAGGATATATAGGGTCTTTGGCGCACCATTTACATAAAATCGGACGAAAATATATATGGGAGCATATCTAAATCTGAACCGATTTGCACGAAATTTAACACACATCTTTCCAGGCTTAATTCAGTACGCTGTGCCAAATTTCGTGCAAATCTAATTATATATAGGGACTTTGGTGCCCCATTTACATAAAATCGGTCAAAAATATATATGGGAGCTATATCTATATCTGAACCGATTTTCACGAAACTTAGCACACATCATTCTAGACTCAATTCAGTATGCTGTCCAAAATTTCGTGCAAATCGAGAGATATATAGGGACTTTCGTACACCATTTACTTTAAATCGTAGGAAAATATATATGGGAGCTATATCTAAATCTGAACCGATTTTTACGAAACTTAGCACACATCATTCTTGACCTTATTCATTACGCTGTGCCAAATTTCGTGCAAATCGAAAGATATATCGGGACTTTGGTGCACCATTTACCTTATATCGGACGAAAATATATATGGGAGCTATATCTATATCTGAATCGATTTTCACGAAATTCAACACACATATTTCCAGACACAATTCAGTACGCTATGCCAAATTTCGTGCAAATCGAAGAATATATAGGATCTTTGGTGTACCATTTACATTAAATCGGACGAAAATATATATGGAAGCTATATATAAATCTGGACCGATTTTCACGAAACTCTATGCCAACTTTTGTGCAAATCGAAAGATATTTGGGGACTTTGGTGCCACATTTACCTTAAATCGGACGAAAAGATATATGAGAGCTATATCTAAATTTGAACCGATTTTCAGGAAACTTAACACACATCATTCTAGTTTTAATTCAGCACGATATGCCAAATTTCGTGCAAATCGAAGAATATATAGGGTCTTTGGTGTGCCATTTACCTAAAATCGGACGAAAATATATATGGGAGCTATATCTAAATGGGAGCTATATCGTGCAAATCGAAAAATAGATAGGGTATTTGGTGCACCATTTAAATAAAATCGAACGAAAATATATATGGGAGCTATATCTAAATCTGAATCGATTTTCACGAAACTTAACACACGTCATTCTACTCTTAATTCATTACGCTGTGCAAAATTTCGTGTAAATTAAATCTTAAATTAGGTTTTCTTATTTATTTATTAATTTACTAATTCCCCTGCATCTCTTCTCCTTCCAGGTGAACGTTATGATTTCATTATTACCGCCGATCAACCCGTCGGTGCCTACTGGATTCAGCTGAGAGGTTTGGGTGAATGCGGTATTCGACGTGCCCAACAATTGGCCATTTTACGTTATGCTCGTGGACCATATCAACCGGCATCGCCACCACCAACCTATGATGTTGGTATTCCACAGGGTGTGGTAAGTTTCGCAAGCAAACAAAAAACTAAGAACCAAACTAAAAACTTAAATCATCATCTTAGAGAAACACATTTAGTAGAAAAAAATTTAGATGAGCATGACTTTAATGGAATCTCAATAAAAATTTCAAAATTATTATTATCGGATAATTGTTAGGTAAATATTTTAGAGAGATTAGCTCTAGGATACACCACATAGTACCGACAATAAATAATTTCGTGTGTAGGCTTCAAAATTAACATCATCGTTTAATTGTCTATCCAATTTATTGGCTGTCAATTAGGCGAGATAAGGCAACAAGAGAATATAATTCAAAAATTTGCGTTTGATGTTAAAATTGTTTCGAATAGAGAACGGGTGGGTGGGAGTAAAATGTCAGTAACATTTAGATAATTTACATCGAAATAACTTCATTGTTTTTTTAGTCTAAGAATTTAGAAATATTGATTAGATATTTTTAAACACCCACTCGTTAAGACACTCCACCACCACAAATACACACATACATACACAGAAAAATATCATAGGCCATATATGAAAAGTGTTGATGTGTTTTAGTATAGCCTCATTATTTTTGTATCTCTCATTTTGTTTTTATTAACCAATCAACATTTTGAGAACATCTAAATGAAGGTAAGTAAATCCAATTTCATTCTTCACTCATAATTTTTGATACTAAATATGTGTCTGTGTGTATATAGCACTTTACTCCGAGGAAGGCAATTAAATGTACAGAGAAAAGGAAAAAAACCATAAACGTTATACGTGCGACCCAATATTTAAAGATATTTTATTGAAATGTTGACAAGCTAATTTTTTTTTTGTTGCCAGTGGAGGCGTTTGAAATTCTGTCACAATAATCTCACGGACATTTATGCAACAAAATTTACAAGATTTTTTTTTTTGCCTTCAGCTAGGCTAAATTAGCGGAATAGATGAAATTAAAAACAATTAGAGTCGTCTGCGTACCATAGGACAAAATTTATGAAAAATGATTTATAGCAAAATCGATACTCGCTATTCGGTACGCCGCACTGTTAAAAATATAATCTCAATCAGACACCCGTTCGAAATACATATGGAAGCTATGGCTACATCTGCACCAATTTCAACAAAACCCAATAAAGTCATCCAAGTCCCAAGTTGATACGTTGTGCAAAATTTCGTGTTAATCGGACAAACAAAAGGAATATAGTGCACCATTTATGTAAAATCGGACAAAAATATATATAGGAGCTATATCTAAATCTGGACCGATTTTCAGAAAACTTAACACACATCATTCTAGGCCTTATTAATTACGCTGTGCCAAATTTAGTGCAAATCGAAAAATATTTAGGGATTTCGGTGCACCTATTACCTTATATCGGACGAAAATATATATGGGAGCTATATAAAAAACAGAACCGATTTTCAGGAAACTTAGCACACATCATTCTAGGCTCAATTCAGTACGCTGTGTTAAATTTCATGCAAATCGAAAGGTATAGAGGGACTTTAGTGCACCATTTACCTTAAATCAGACGAAATTATATATGGGAGCTACATCTAAATCTGAACCGATCATTCTAGACCTAATTCATTACGCTGTGTCAAATTGCCGCAAATCGAAAGATATATAGGAACTTTGGTGTACCATTTACCTTAAATCGGACCAAAATATATATTAGAGAGCTATATCTAAATCTGTACCGATTTTCACGAAACTTAGCACACATAATTCAAGAGTTAATTCAGTACGCTATGACAAATTTCGTGCAAATCGGAGTATATATAGAGTCTTTGATGCACCATTTATATTAAATCGGACGAAAATATATATGGGAGCTATATCTAAAACAGAACCGATTTTTATGAAACTTAGCACACATCATTCTAGACTCAATTCAGTACGCTGTGCCAAATTTCGTGCAAATCGAAAGATATATAAAGACTTTGGTGCACCATTTACTTTAAATCGGATGAAAATATATATGGGAGCTATATCTAAATCTGAACCGATTTTTCCCAATTTCAATAGGGTTCGTCCTTGGGCTAAATAAGTGAACTGTGTCAAATTTCATCCAAATCGGATCACAAATGCGACCTGTACTTTGTTCACAAAAATACATGGACGGACGGACATGCATAAATCGACATAGAAAATGATTCTATGCTTATTCTTAAAAGGAACCATGTGTCTATCTCGTTTCCTTTTGCCTGTTACAAACATACGCACAAAGACATAATACCCTGTACCACAGTGGGGTGAAGGGTATAAAAACTTTGTAAAAAAAATTAGTGACTTTTTTTTCAATAAAAAAATCTATTCCTCAACGAACCTCCAATAATTTCTGTAGAAATCCCTCAACGAACCTCCCATGCAGGCTCGACAATAATTCCTCCACGAATTTTACATGGAGACTCGATTAGAATCCTCAACCATCGACACAAGGACTATCGACAATAATGCCTAAAAAAATTCTAATTGATAGCCCGACAGATCATCAACCGGAATTCGATTATACGTTTCCACGACAGAGGGGTCCGCTGCTGCTACAACAACAACAACAACTTGTCGATCCTCCGAAATTTCAAAGGACGATGATTGAAAAACTTCTACAGAAATTCTTGTCAAGCCTCGCTTGGATGTTCGTTGAGGAAGATCTATAGACAATCTTTTTTGTCAAGGCTCCGAATGAGGCATCTGTCGGACGTTCTATACAAATTCTTATCGAGCATCTATCAAAAATGCTGTCATAGGGTTTACGACCCGGTTACAATAAAATATTTAGTATTCCGAAATATTAGAAAGTATACTTGTTGTCGTAACGTATACGCCAGATGGTACGAAATGTTTTTCATCTGGGGTTATTGGAGCGTATACCTGTTGTCGTAACGTATACGACAGATTGCACTAAATACTTTGTGATAAAGTAAGCATTCGTCCGTCTCACTGATATTATTTCTAAAATAGTCGAACAGCTGATGAACTTTCGGATCAGGAGAATTTTATTACGAACAACAACATTTTGAGACTCCGGGTCATGGAATTCGACTCTGCAAACGTGGCAAAAACTAGTTCTTATAATGACTACACCTGTGCGTATAAGTGTTGTCGTAACGTATACAACATAGGGGTCTATGATCAAGAATTATAAATATGAATGTAGAGCAGCCCCCTAATCAATGTCCCATCCTATTTGATGTGTGTTGAATGTTCTATGCGATTCTTCTAAACTTCCTGGCAGAGAATTTACAATCTACAGGAGTTTCAATAAATTTTAGGTATTATGAAGAAACATCTAAGTTCTATGAGGTGAATTCCTATATAAAAAAGTCGATCCTCCACCGGAAGTTTTATATAAGTTTCTATATGAATTCTTGTCGATCTTTGGAAGATCGGTTGTAATGCCTTCAATAAGATATTCAATTATCCATGTTTATTAAAGTGTTTACATTTTGTCATGACGTATTCGCCAGATCAATATTCAATATTTTGAAATGAATTGAAAAGAATTTCTCCTTTCTCTAAGTTTTTTTTAAACATTAGAGCAGCTGAAGATTCAAGGCATGAGGACAATTTAATTGGTAAATATCAATGGTTATGGAACCTTAACTTCTTTATTTTCGATTTTCCATTGGAAGTTAAATGGAGGTATTCAGTAATCGGAGACTATTAGAGTGTATACCTGTTGTCGTAACGTATACGCCAGAATGAACTCAATATTTGGAAATTAAATGAAAAGAAACTTTCGTCTACAAAATTGTTTGAGCAGCTGATGATTCAAGACATCAGGGGATATTTATTAATAAACATCGAATATTCAACGTGAATTCGACTTGCTCCATCGGAAGTTGGATTGCTAATCCTAGAGAAATTTTTGTTAAAAAAAAAAAATCTCATCGAGCCTCCAATGGAGATTTTCAGCAATTAGCTACTACTAGATCGTATACGTGTTGTCGTTACGTATACGCCATTTTTTAAATTAATAGACAAGTTCTAGTTTCACAGCTTACGATACGGTTCGTCATGAAAATTTTAAGCGAGCAAAATATCAAAGGTTTGATGATACTTTTATTTTATAGGAGACATGATTCCATCATATAAGGTCGATGGCAATTTCTATAGAGATTTGTATTGTGTAGAAGCTCTTACAAGCATCTAGATCCGTTAATTTTGTCACGCAATTGGAATTTTGCAAATCGAAAAATATTTGTCTACATTCAATAAAATATCTTTAAAAATAGTAATTGCCTTCCGGGTTTGTAAATTCTTTCTCCCATTAAAATATAATTATATATATTTAAAATATTGTTATATAAATATTTCACCTTATCCCCATATATAAAATATTCTATTTATAAAAAATACCCCCCTTATCAATTTATTAATATTCTTTATTTCTTTTTTATTTAATTCCATGTAATATAAAAAAACCAAATACACCCTGAAAATAAACCAAAAAAATACAACCCTACGCTTCCATTTGTTGTAAAATATTCAAAAACGATCCAACAAAAAATATGTATAAAACCAATACACACCAACCACCCTGAAAACGAAAACTTGTACTTCAAACCAAACCCCAATTCTAAAAAATGGTGGTATTAACTCCTACTCAAAAAATGAACATTTATTCTATGTGAATATTAAATGTAAATATGCACTGCTTTAAAAAATATTGTGCAAAAAATCTGCACCTAAATAACAACAAAAAAATGAAACAAAATCGAAAAAAACATCCTGAAAAACATCGAATCCACTAAAAAAGGTTATGAATCCCTTGGATGCCCAATGTAATGGCCAGCGTAACGATGCCATTTGTGTTAGTCAGCTGAAGAGCGCTTTGGAAATTGATCGTGGTATTTTGGCTGAGAAACCCGACGTTAAGATTTTCTTACCATTCCGTTTCTATTTGTATCGTCCCGAGGAATTGTTCCAGCCTAATACCTATAACAGGTTTTTGGGTAAGTAACAGAGAACCAAAACTAATTTATTTATGGATGTATTATAAATTGTTTTAATTTCTCGATTTTTTCAGTGGCACCAACCGGCGATCATGTCATCTCATTGATTGATGAAATCTCTTATCTTTCGGCACCCGCTCCTTTAACATCCCAATATAATGACATTAATCCTGAACAGTTTTGTAACGGTGATAATCGCCCAGCTGATTGTGGTCCAAATTGCATGTGTACCCATAAAATTGATATACCATTAAATGCTGTCGTCGAAGTTGTATTGGTCGATGAGGGTAAGTAAAAAATCAAAAAATATGTAGGCTTTGATGTACTCACTAAAAAATAATAATTATTATTTGCTGGAGCGTATAAGTGCTGTCGTAACGTATACGACCAGGTTGACACCATATATTTTGTATTCTTTAGAGCGTATACTTGTTGTTGGAACATATATAAAACATTTAAATCCAATGCCATAACATTCGAAATAAGCTCTAGAATTCCATACACATTTTTTGAAATATTGAGCATTTCTTGTCGGAACCCCATACATAAAAGAATCGCAGAGAATACTTCGATTAAGGCATTTTAAACGCATTTAAACGTATGATTAGGGTTTATTTTTTTATTTAATTATTTTTATTTTATTATGGAAAAGAAAAAAATAGAATTAGAATTATTTGACCCGACAAATTGAATCGAGCTATCAACAGAGCGTATACGTGTTTCTGTAACGTATACCGGGAATTGTATCTTGTATTTCACATTAATTGAAAAGAAGCTCTGGATTTCACCTACAAATCCTTCTCAAAATGGTTGATCAGCTCTCGAAGCGTGTGTAGAGAGATAGCAGATTCAAATGTATACTTCGTAAGCAACCGAGTAAAGATGTCGATCTCTAAAGTACAATATTCTGTACTCATATATTCCGAACTTGTGTGATCACTAGAACGTATACGTGTTGTCGTAACGTATACAATCGATAGTACTCAGTGGTTTTTAAGCAATTAAATATATGCTCTCGGTTTGCCTAAGATCGGTTAAAACAATTATTTGAGCATCTGACGATCTAGGACAGCAGGAAAAAAATACCAGAAAATAATATGACATTTTTGCACAAATCTATATTTTGTAGCAAATTTATGTTATATCCTATCGATTCACATCATGACCCATGAATATTCGTAATTTTCAACAATCACAAATGTCAAAGATGAACAACAAAAATTAAGAGACTACGTGTTATGGAATCCGACTCTGCAAACGTGACTATACCTGTGCGTATAAGTGTTGTCGTAACGTATACAACATAGGGGTCTATGATCAAAAATATGAATAAATATGAATGTAGAGCCCCCGTATGAAAATCCCATCATATTTTTTGTGTGTTGAATGTTTTATGCGAATCTACCTGGCAGAAAATTTACAATCTACTGGAGTCTCAATGTATTATGAATGAGCAGAATTGTATAAACAAATTCCTCAGATATTTTAGAATCAAATAAAATTCATTAACCTGAGGACATTTTCTCCATAGACACAAATTTAGACTAAAAATGAGAAATTCCTCAGATTCCTGAGGATGATTTTTAGCCTGTAAGGCAGCACACTTAGTACTGCCTTTTCTATCGAAAAATATATTCGGATATCAAATAGAAAAATATTTCACTTTGGGTATTTTCAAATTACAACAAAACTAAATATACTGCCTCTGCTTTAAGATCGAAAAGTCTAAGTATAATTGCTGTCAGTACTCATACGACACCCTGAATATTAATATAAATCGGTTTTATATTATTTTTTTCCCATTTAAATTTAAAATTTCTACTTTACTGGGGCTTATGAATCGTAAAAAATCTCCTTTTGCCAATATACTGACTGAGAAGACTTTTTTCATAAAACAAAAGTTCAGTAGTTGCAATGAAACCATAGAAAATAGTTTACCTCTGATTACAGAACGTTAGGTCGTATAATTGTTGTCAAAACTCATACGACACAGAGTATAAGAAATGGATGTGAAACTAATAACCCCCATGATATTAGTTTGGGGAAAAAAGAAATCCATTATTTTTTCGGCAGATGCCTGTACTGATAGATTTCTCGTAAAAAAATCGATCAAACAATATCAGATTTATGGAAGGAAGGGTGACATTTTGCAGTGAAAAAAATATTTTGCTGTTTTTTGTTTGGTGCATTCAATTGTGAGTCACAGGGTGTTAAAACTGGAAGTGAACACAGAGAAAATTTGGTACATTTTACAGTTTTACTTTGACAAAGTTTTCCTAGATTCCATTCAGGAATTTTTGATGTTAAAGATGCACCACGCACAGGTAAGCCGGTCATCGAAAATGTCGATAAAATCGGAGAAATAACCAAATTTACCGGCATGTTAGTAGTCGTAACATTTTCCAGGAGCTAAAAATAATAAAATTAAAAAAAATAAAATATAAATAATGGTTTCCTGTTTCCCCAACCTAATAGAAATTCTTTGCCTTCTGAACATATGGAATAATATATGGTACTTCTATGCGTATAACTGTTGACACTACCTATACGACACCATGAACCCTTCATGTTAATATTGAATAAAATCATCAGCTTGATTATGATTCGTTTTTCTAGTGGATTTTGTGTCAATTGAAAAACTTGTTGGTTATGGTTTATAGTTTTGATTTATTTTTATTTTCCAATATTTCGACTGTCTTCGGCAGTCAGTCTTCGGTTTTTCTATATAGACACAGATCGTTGACGATTGTTTTCTGCTATACAAATCAAATTGACAATTGTTGGGGAGAAAAAAATCTCAGTTATTTGAAAAGATTTTTTTCCATAGAAACAAATTTCTTCGATGTCCTCCTGAGAGCAATACTTCTTTAGGGGAATAAATTCTTAGTAATGAGAAGGCTTTTGTTTCTTTAGAAAAAAATGTACGTCTCGGCGTATAATTATTGACCATACCTATACGACACCAGGAACCCCCTGCATATAATAATTAAATAAATATCTTCCTAATTTCAATAAATTGTCTATCTAAAAAATTTTATAGACAAACATAGGGCCTGTATCTCGCCATACAAAAATCCATATTATTTTTTTATGGATTTACCCATATTCATTTTTGTTTCGGTTTTTATAAAGTCATGAAAATCAGATCAAATGTACCGAAATACAAAGAGATAAACAGAAAACAATTGCAGTTACACCCACCCAATACTTTATTAAGGTTCAAAAGAACAAAAACAACAACAAAACATATAAATAAGGTAACAATTTGAAATGTTTCCGTTCGTTCTCACCAGTCAATATCCAGCAACCAGCCAACGCATTAATGATTCAGTTGAACTTTTTCATGAGATTATCAACTCACAAAAAAAAAACGTTTAGGTGCTGCTGACAAAACGGGGAACTCTAAAATAAAGTGTGTGGTGAATAATCGCAATATTCAAAATGGAGAAAATAATTAATATTTTTTGAATTATTAAAATGAAGCGCTTCATTTCAGGATATTTGGTCTCTATTAAAATTCATATCCAATTTTCCATTTAACGAAACTTACTATACGAACTTTATGAATCATAGGGTCTTTATCGAATTTTCAAATTTTATTTAAATAGAATCGACTGTACACGCTCTGCATGAATCATAGGGCCGCGGATTGTTCTTTTTGAATGGGGTAGTGCAAACAAAAAAATATATTTCATTGTTTATAATTCAAAAAGCGATGATTATAACAATTTCGGTTTGCTTTTTTCCATTTGTATCCGCATAAAATCTAAGTAGAGCTGCCCCAGAATTATCAGCATATTCATCTGGTCTGATTATGGGTCATTTAATTTAGAGATTTGTTGAACATTTTCTTTTTTTTGTTTTGCCTTTGTTGTTAACAACATTTAGTACATAATTTAAAACAATAAATGAATGGTGTTCAATTGTTGGTAAGCAGGAAGGTAGGTCGCTCACTCACTCACTCACTCACTCAATAGTATATTTAGATACGTAGATAGATGCATGAATGTTTGCTAGCCCCAACATTTGCCGCAGTTGCTCGTGATATTATGTATGTGATTTTTTTTTTGCTTTAGATTTTGCGAGGCCAAATGCCTTGATATCTTTGTGTTCAATTTATGCTGCTGCCGGTTTTTGGTGTGTTTCTAGGAAACCTATAGTTTTGCAAATTATATTTTATTGTTTATGAGCTGAAACGTACTCCCTCTCCCTATGTTCGCCATCGATTTGACCAAACCCATATTTGTTTATTGCCATGTATTGTTGTTATTATTATAAATATTTTTTTTCGTTAAACAAATAAAATCATATAACTAAATATATAGATTAGTTTATGTTTAGTAAAAAATATTTTTGCACGATATTGTTTCTGGGCAGACTGGAAAAAAATCTGCAAATCTAGCATGGGGTAAAATTAAACTGCAGTTGTGAATTTGAGGAACATTAAATCATGTTCGAGTGAACTTTTTTTATTATTCAATAAACAAAAAACAACAAAAATCTTCGGTATTTTATAATAAGGGATCATGGTGTTGTATACGTGGTGGCAACACTTATACGCACTAATGTACTCTGATTATAAATGGCAATAAAACCGGTAAGGAAAGTAGCAAAGTCGGCCGGGGCCGACTATATTATACCCTTCACCACTTTGGGTATATTCAACAGATGAAATCCTCACAGACATCGCATTTTTGAAGGACCATTAACATTAAATTAAAAATTTCATTCCGCAACCTATACAAAATTTTGGTCAGATATAGAGTTGCTCCTTACAATGGGACAAAATTATGTAAATAAATTTTAAGCAAAATATCGAAATCTAAACCGATTTCATCGAAACTTTCAGTATGTTTCTTTCATTCGGCCAAATTTTGAACTCTTCATTTACTTATAAATCCAAATTTCGTGCAAATCGAAGGATATATAGGGACTTTAGTGCACTATTTACCTAAAATCGGACGAAAATATATATGGGAGCTATATCTAAATTTGAACCGATTTTCAAGAAATTTAACACACATCGTTCTAGGCTTAATTCAGAATGTTGTGTCAAATTTGAAATGCAAATCTTTTAAGGATATATAGGGACTTTGGATGCACTATTTACCTAAAATACGAAAATATATATGGGAGCTAAATATATCTAAATATCTATTTTTTAATACCAACACACATCAAAATAACTTAATTTGTGCGCTGTATGCCAAATTACGTGCAAATCGACAAGATTTTAGGGGCTTTCTGATCAAAAAATCATAGTATATGCTATAGGAATATTTCGAGGAGTGGCAAACGAAATCACAAATTTAATACACACTCCATTTGTAGGTTGTAAAAAATGCCTCTATTCGGCTGACTCTTTTCCTGTAGCCCCAATTTTTCATATGTGTCAAAAAAAAAATTTTTTTTTTGATAATTACTTTTTTATAAAAAAAAATCTATTTGCCTTAGGACTAATTTCAAGAAATTTAACACACATCACTCCAGAACCAATTTTACGCTATATCAAAAAAAAAAGGATTTTCTTCAGTTCCACGAGCAAAAATATATTTTACCAGAAAGAACAACATAAGGCATCTATAGCTATCTTACATATTGAAAATATCTCATTCGTACCTTGGTGCGTATAACTGTTGTCACAACGCATACGCCACCAAGTCACACAACTTTCAAAATTCGCCATTTCACACAGGAATCATTTTCGAATATAAAAAATTGTCTCAAGACTCTTTTTCTATATAAAAAACCTTTCTTTCTATGGAAAAAAATTTCCAGCTCAATAGGGATTATTTTTATTAATGAAATAATGACTATTTTTTTCCTATTTTCCTATTTTTCCGATTTTGTTTTACAAAAAATCTCAGAGGAGAAATCTTTTAATTATAAAGACTTTTTTCTATAGCAAAAAATGTCATTGTCTAAATTTACTTTTCGATACAGAAAAATTATTTTGGTCTTCTACGCATTAAACATATTTTTCTTTGCTACATTAGTGCGTATGACTGCTGTCGCTACGTATACGCCAAAGTTCCACTACGTTTAGCATTTAAAAATATTATGACATTTGAGAAGAAAAAAATTCGATCGCTCACATCTGTCTTTATAACAGAAAAAATTTTAAGATGAAACAGAATTTTTTTTTTATTTTACAAAAAATTCTCAGTAGGATGAGAACTCAAGTCTCTATACGAAAAATTCTCGGGTTAATCTTTTCCTTCTATAAAAAGATATCGCTGAGGATTTTTTTCTTTATAAAAAAATCCTTTTCTTGAAAACTTCTTTTCTTGTTAAACAAAAAATGTTCCTTATTATCATAGGGTACTAAAATCGCCAGTTGTCTGGGGACACATTTTTAAAAGTAAACATCTTCAGTTTACTGAATGGTCTATTTTATGTAAATGTTTTTGCTCTAAAAATAAGTCTACCAGATTTCTGAGGATAGTTTGTTCTATAGAAAATAATTTCAAAGTTATGTGAACGCTTTGTTTTTTTTAGAAAAAATCCTGAGGCCCTAATGGTCTTCTAAACTTTGCCAATATGTAAACGGTATGTAAACGTATAACTGTTAATAGAACGTATACATCACAAAGTTCCACAATATTTGAAATCGTCTGCAATTTTTTACAGAAAAATATCCTCAGTTATCGGAGAAGGAATATTGTTATAAGAAAAAAGGTACCCTTTATCCGAAGGCTTTAGTTTCTTTAGAAATGTTTTTTCTTAAAAAATATATCCTAAGTACTCTACAAAAACTTATACTCAGTCCTCTTCTATAAATTGAAAATACGTATTTAGTACATTGGTGCGTATAACTATTGTCATCAGTTATACGATACGAAGTTCCTTAACTTAAATTTAATTTAAATATATTATAGAAAATTTTTATTGAATTTTTATTTCAATTTATTTATTTATTTCTATTTCTCTTTTCAGTCCAACAACCCAATCTGTCACATCCCTTCCATTTGCACGGATATGGTTTCAGTGTTGTCGGCATTGGCCGGTCACCCGATACCAATGTAAAGAAAATCAATTTGAAACATGCTCTCGATTTGGATAGACGCGGTCTGTTGCACAGACAATATAATTTGCCGCCGACAAAGGATACAATTGCGGTGCCCAATAACGGTTATGTGGTGCTGAGATTTAGAGCTGATAATCCTGGTAAGAAGAGGAAGATATATTGTTTTAAAATTTTTCCTGAAACCTATTAACTTTTATCCACTTTGCAGGTTTCTGGTTATTCCATTGTCATTTCCTGTTCCACATTGTGATTGGCATGAATTTGATATTGCAAGTGGGCACCAATGCCGATTTGCCACCAGTGCCACCAGGTTTCCCCACATGTGGTGATCATACACCACCCATACCAATTAATTAATGGGGAAATAACAAAAAAAAAACAGCTAACTAACAAAATTATGATTTGGAGAAAATGATTTTTTTTTCTGTAGACCATTCAAAACAAAAAACCAAGTTTCCTAAAGGCGAGATAAAGGAAAAAAATGTTTTCTCCAAAAAATTATCACACACACACAAAACGAAAAGACAACAACAACAAAACACAATGTACAAAGTAGACACACACCAATACAAGAAAAAATATAGCAACAACAACAATTTAACGAAACTTAAACGAAAAAAAGAAAAGCTAAATACTCATACACACTGAGAGAAATTCTTTTTAGCATGTAATTTAAAAAAGATGTGACGTTTTGTAAAGCATACTTCTAGGCTGCATAAATCAAAAGCTCTCGAACAGCTGTGTGCAAGCTTTTTTTGTTAGAATTTCATTTTTTTTAAGCACTGCCCTAATGTGTTAAAGGCTTTTCAAAACGAAGTCAATGGAAACAGATTTTTGCCTTTAACACAAAAATGAAAATCTTTCTATGCACTTGAAAGGGGGAAAAGCTTTAAGCTTCACAAATTAATACCGACTAAGCCATACAAAAAGCTTAAAGCTTCAAAGCATGATGTAAGATAATACCCTCGTCGATTTCAAAGTGCAATAGTCATAAAATTTATTAAAGTAATTTAAAAAAAAAATCACACGACTTTCTTCTATACTTTCTATCGAAAAAAATTTATAATAAAAATTTAAAAAAAAATTAGTAAAATATATTTAAAAAAAAAAATTTTTTTTCAAAATTTCAACACTTGATAATATTTTCTGCATAATTTTCATAACAAAAAATTTTAATTTAAAAAAATTAAAAAGAAAATTATGTAGAGAAATATTTTGTAAATTTAATTCTCCCTCTCTCTTTCTCTCTTCCCTTAAACATTATATTTTTGTAAAGCATAAACACTTGCCCCGTCTCTCTCTGACCTTTTACAAGATTAAATATTAAGTGAATTATCAACATACTGACATGTGTATATGTTCAAAACTTAGTGTATATTATTATTTTTTTCTTGTTTATATAAATACATACAGAACTGCAATAGTTTTATTTTAAATGCTTTCTATAGAGACTTTTGGGAAGCGACCCTAATGTCATACTGAAACTCCTAATGTCAATAAACCACTCCCAATCCTGCATAAACTATTTCTATAAAAATTTAATTTTTTTTTTACACAAATTCTATTTTTTTTCTAAATTTTTGTTAATTATAATAATTTTAATTATTTTTTTGTTTTTATGTAAAGTTGGATTATTTGTTTTTAATATATATATTTTCTTAATTTGTGTATAAAGACATGTAAAATATATATATGACATATTATTATATACTTTTTATACGATTATTACTGCCGTTAATATTAAATTTAATTATTTTTAAATAATAAATAAACTATAAAATAATATATATATATATATAAAACAAAAACAAAATAAATAATATATATCATTGACTCCCTTGTATTATTAAAAACCTTTTAGTTTTTATTTTGCACCTAACCTCAAAAAACAAAACCAACAAATGGGGTCCTTGTAAATACATTAATACCAAAAAGTATAACAAATTTCACAAATTAATTTTTTGTTTCTCTAGAAAAACAGACCTCAGGGCACCTAACGCCATTTTTTCTATAGAAAAACAGACTTCAGGAGACCTGACGACATTTTTTCTATAGGAAAACAGACCTCAGGTGACCTCACTACATTTTTTCTATAGAAAAACAGACCTCAGGAGACCTGACGACATTTTTTCTATAGAAAAACAGACCTCAGGAGACCTGACGACATTTTTTCTATAGAAAAACAGACCTCAGGAGACCTGACGACATTTTTTCTATAGAAAAACAGACCTCAGGAGACCTGACGACATTTTTTCTATAGAAAAACAGACCTCAGGAGACCTGACGACATTTTTTCTATAGAAAAACAGACCTCAGGAGACCTGACGACATTTTTTCTATAGAAAAACAGACCTCAGGAGACCTGACGACATTTTTTCTATAGAAAAACAGACCTCAGGAGACCTGACGACATTTTTTCTATAGAAAAACAGACCTCAGGAGACCTGACGACATTTTTTCTATAGAAAAACAGACCTCAGGAGACCTGACGACATTTTTTCTATAGAAAAACAGACCTCAGGAGACCTGACGACATTTTTTCTATAGAAAAACAGACCTCAGGAGACCTGACGAATTTTTTTCTATAGAAAAACAGACCTCAGGAGACCTGACGACATTTTTTTCTATAGAAAAACAGACCTCAGGAGACCTGACGACATTTTTTCTATAGAAAAACAGACCTCAGGAGACCTGACGACATTTTTTCTATAGAAAAACAGACCTCAGGAGACCTGACGACATTTTTTCTATAGAAAAACAGACCTCAGGAGACCTGACGACAGTTTTTCTATAGAAAAACAGACCTCAGGAGACCTGACGACAGTTTTTCTATAGAAAAACAGACCTCAGGAGACCTGACGACAGTTTTTCTATAGAAAAACAGAGCCTCAGGAGACCTGACGACAGTTTTTCTATAGAAAAACAGACCTCAGGAGACCTGACGACAGTTTTTCTATAGAAAAACAGACCTCAGGAGACCTGACGACAGTTTTTCTATAGAAAAACAGACCTCAGGAGACCTGACGACATTTTTTCTATAGAAAAACAGACCTCAGGAGACCTGACGACATTTTTTCTATAGAAAAACAGACCTCAGGAGACCTGACGACATTTTTTATATAGAAAAACAGACCTCAGGAGACCTGACGACATTTTTTCTATAGAAAAACAGACCTCAGGAGACCTGACGACATTTTTTCTATAGAAAAACAGACCTCAGGAGACCTGACGACATTTTTTCTATAGAAAAAAATACCTCAGGGGAAATGAAGATTTTTTTTCTATAGAAAAACAGACCTCAGGAGACCTGACGACATTTTTTCTATAGAAAAACAGACCTCAGGAGACCTGACGACATTTTTTCTATAGAAAAACAGACCTCAGGAGACCTGACGACATTTTTTCTATAGAAAAACAGACCTCAGGAGACCTGACGACATTTTTTCTATAGAAAAACAGACCTCAGGAGACCTGACGACATTTTTTCTATAGTCAGGGGACTGAGTATTTTTTTTCTATAGAAAAACAGACCTCAGGAGACCTGACGACATTTTTTCTATAGAAAAACAGACCTCAGGAGACCTGACGACATTTTTTCTATAGAAAAACAGACCTCAGGAGACCTGACGACATTTTTTCTATAGAAAAACAGACCTCAGGAGACCTGACGACATTTTTTCTATAGAAAAACAGACCTCAGGAGACCTGACGACATTTTTTCTATAGAAAAACAGACCTCAGGAGACCTGACGACATTTTTTCTATAGAAAAACAGACCTCAGGAGACCTGACGACATTTTTTCTATAGAAAAACAGACCTCAGGAGACCTGACGACATTTTTTCTATAGAAAAACAGACCTCAGGAGACCTGACGACATTTTTTCTATAGAAAAACAGACCTCAGGAGACCTGAGGAATTTTTTTCTATAGAAAAACAGACCTCAGGAGACCTGAGGAATTTTTTTCTATAGAAAAACAGACCTCAGGGGACCTGAGGAATTTTTTTTCTATAGAAAAACAGACCTCAGGAGACCTGAGGAATTTTTTTTTCTATAGAAAAACAGACCTCAGGAGACCTGAGAAAAATTTTCTTCCAGTGAAAAATAGTCTTCAGGGATTTTTTCCCTGAACATAGGTTTTGATTATATCTCCTGATATAACTTGGAAAAACAGTTTCTGCTCTGGTGAGTACGATAAATATACCTTGCACGATCAATGTAAATAAACCCAATTGCAAGCCCTGAGTATCATAAAAAGAAGGACAGATGATCTTCTGGTAAGTAGATTCAATATTTTTTTTCCTAATTTTTCAAAATTTTATAATTTCGTCCTTTGAAATATTTCAAAAAATAAATTCTCTCTCTCTCTTTCCCTCTCACCGATAGGTCCTTAATCCCCTTGATGCCATTTGTGATCGTAAACGTTCCGATGCCGTTTGTGTTTCGAATTTGAAAAATGCCAAGGCGGTAGACAAGAGTGTCCTGGTGGAACGACCAGATGTGAAAATTTTCCTACCATTCCGTTTTTATGTTTATGAGCCGAAAAATCTCTTCATACCGAACACCTATAATCGTTATTTGGGTAAGTGCGATCAGCAGTGGGGCGCAAGAGCGAATTGTTGTAAAAAAATGAATTTTGTTGTGATGCTCTCTTTGTTATTAATGTGTTTCTGTGTTTTTTGTTGTTATTGTGCTCTCTATCTGTGTGTGTGTGTGCTTTTTACTATCATCGCTCTTGTTTGCCTATGTCTATGTGTGGGTAAATTTTGTACTATTTTTTTGAAAGCCAAGAAATCTGACTTTGGTTTTTAGTTTTTAAGTCAATTTTTTTATACATCTCTATATTCCGAAATACAACCCAACCCAACTCTGTTGTATACCCTCCTCCCTCCATGTTTTTAGTTGTCCCCTCTGGTGATCATTTAATCTCGTTGGTCGATGAAATCTCCTACATATCACCACCAGCACCAATGCTCTCGCAAATAAACGACATACCGCCTGAGCTATTCTGTAATGGTGATAATCGTCCACCGGATTGTGGTCCTAACTGTGAGTGCGTCCACAAAGTCGACATCCCGTTGGGCGCCGTTGTAGAAGTCGTCCTGGTCGATGAGGTCCAGCAAGTCAATCTCAGCCATCCCTTCCATTTGCATGGTACCCCATTCTATTTGGTTGGCATGGGTCGATCGCCGGATAAATCCATCAAGAAAATCAATTTAAAACATACTCTCGAATTGGATCGTATGGGTATGCTGGAGAGAGATTTTTCCAAGCCACCGCTCAAGGATAATGTGGCAGTGCCAAATAATGGTTATGTGGTGTTGAGATTTCGTGCCGATAATCCTGGCTATTGGCTGTTCCATTGTCATTTTCTATTCCACATTGTGATCGGCATGAATTTGGTATTTCACATAGGTACCCATGCGGATCTGCCACCGGTTCCTGATAAATTTCCAACGTGTGGTGATCACGTGCCGCCTGTATCGCTATTCTAAATTGTACTCTTATTTTCTTTTTTGTATTTCTATATTGCTTTTATTGTGTATGTATGTGTAAATTTTAGCAGATGCTGCCACTGCGCAAACAACTACTATGTAGAGAAGGGGTCTATGTCTAGCGTTGGAAGGATTTCAATTAATAGAAGAGGGTACCTGAAAAATTTTTTGTCTATAGAAAAAAAGTCCTCAGGGGTTCTGAAGAATTTTTTTCTATAGAAAACAGACCTCAGGAGGCCTGAGGACCTCAGGGGACCTGAGGATTTTTTTTTTCTATAGAAAAACATACCTCATGAGACCAGAGGATTTTTTCTATAGAAAAACAGACCTCAGGAGACCTGATGAATTTTTTCTATAGAAAAAGAGACCTTTGGGACCTGACTTCTATGTATAGAAGTTCTTTGAAGACCCTTAGAAGGTCCTCCACCCTTATGATATTCTGGGATTATGTGCAATTTTTTATTAAAAGTATTTAGACATAGACCTCTCTGAGCAGCAGTGGTAGCACGATAAATCATGATTGTATATAAATGTTAAAAACAACAACAATGAACCCTATACTACATATTTTAATAGTTACAAGGAAAATTTAATATCAAAATAAACCTCCTGAGGTTGTGACTATTGTCTATAGAAAATGGAGTCCTCAGTCCTTTTTCAATAAAAAAGGGGTCCTCAGGCTTCCTGATATTTGTTTTTTTTTATAGAAAAAATTCCTCAGTTTTGCTAAGGTCTGTTCTTCTATAGAAAAAAATTCGTCAGGTCTCCTGATGTCTGTTTTTCTATAGAAAAAATGTCGCCAGGTCTCCTGAGGTCTGTTTTTCTATAGAAAAAAATTCGTGAGGTCTCCTGAGGTCTGTTTTTTTTCTATAGAAAAAAATTCGTCAGGTCTCCTGAGGTCTGTTTTTCTATAGAAAAAAAATCGTCAGGTCTCCTGAGGTCTGTTTTTCTATAGAAAAAAAATCGTCAGGTCTCCTGAGGTCTGTTTTTCTATAGAAAAAAAATCGTCAGGTCTCCTGAGGTCTGTTTTTCTATAGAAAAAATTCGTCAGATCTCCTGAGGTCTGTTTTTCTATAGAAAAAAATCGTCAGGTCTCCTGAGGTCTGTTTTTCTACAGAAAAAAAAATGCGTCAGGTCTCCTGAGGTCTGTTTTTATATAGAACAAAATGTCGTCAGATCTCCTGAGGTATGATTTTCTATAGAACAAAATGTCGTCAGGTCTCCTGAGGTCTGTTTTTCTATAGAACAAACTGTCGTCAGGTCTCCTGAGGTCGGTTTTCCTATAGAAAAAAATTCGTCAGGTCTCCTGAGGTCGGTTTTTCTATAGAAAAAATGTCGTTAGCTCCCCTGAGGTCTGTTTTTCTATAGAAAAAAAATTCGTCAGGTCTCCTGAGGTCTGTTTTTCTATAGAAAAAAATTCGTCAGGTCTCCTGAGGTCTGTTTTTCTATAGAAAAAATGTCGTCAGGTCTCCTGAGGTCTGTTTTTCTATAGAAAAAATGTCGTCAGGTCTCCTGAGGTCTGTTTTTCTATGGAAAAAAATTCGTCAGGTCTCCTGAGGTCTATTTTTCTATAGAAAAAAATCGTCAGGTCTGTTTTTCTATAGAAAAAAAACCTCGGAGGATTTTGCTTATAACTAATGAAAAAAAATCCAAAATTTTACAAAAAAAATATCCAAAATTGTTTTACTAACTTTCTTATTTCCGTTCAATATTATTTACACAAATCTGCCAAAAAATGTGTGTGACTAACATATTTTAAATTAATTTTTTAACATTCTTGTTTTTTAAAGCGCCCATGTACATTATGTTCAAAATGAGTTTTATAAAAATTTGTAAAAAACAAATAATTAAAAAAAATTGTTTTACTTCCAATTGTTTTTGTTAATTACTTCATTCCTTGTGTCAAATCAACCAACCAATCAACTTCATATGCGTAGTGATATTTCCTACTGTCAATAACATTTAAGATTGTTTATGTTTTTATTTTTTGTTTAATAATTTTAATATATATTTTTTTTATTTAATTTTTAAATAATTATTTTTTTGTTTTGTTTTAATCTTGTAATAAAAAACCATATTTATATAAATATAAAAAATTAAATTTGTAATAACTCTGTCTTTGTGAAGAATTTTCTCTTGTCAAAATATTCTATTTACTTCCTCTTCTACTTCTGTTATAAAACAAAAATTTTAATGGGCAATTTTTGTAAGCAAGGTAAGTAGACCTCTCTTGTAAAATTTGAAAACGAAATGGTATTAAGGGGAAACTGTACATTTTCGTTACTAACACACATACACCTAAATATATTAATTTATCCTACAGCACATGTAATCCTTGACTAAAAATTTTAAAATAGACACTTGACGATAGAGGACAAAAATTCATAAAAAAAATACCCTCAGGCAACATGAGGATTTTTTTCTATAGAAAAACAGACCTCAGGAGATCTGAGGAATTTTTTCTAAGGAAAAACAGTCCTCAGAAGACCTGAGGAATTTTTGTCTATATAAAAACAGACCTCAGGAGACCTGAGGATTTCTTTTTTCTATAGAAAAACAGACCTCAGGTGGGCCTGAGGAATATTTTTCTATAGAAAAACAGACCTCAGGTGGGCCTGAGGAATTTTTTTCTATAGAAAAACAGACCTCAGTTGGGCCTGAGGAATTTTTTTCTATAGAAAAACAGACCTCAGGTCGGCCTGAGGATTTTTTTTCTATAGAAAAACAGACCTCATGTGGGCCTGAGGAATTTTTTTCTATAGAAAAACAGACCTATGGTGGGCCTGAGGATTTTTTTCTATAGAAAAACAGACCTCAGGTGGGCCTGAGGAATTTTTTTCTATAGAAAAATAGACCTCAGGTGGGCCTGAGGAATTTTTTTCTACAGAAAAACAGATCTCAGGGGGTCTGAGGAATTTTTTTCTATTAAAAATGAGACTTAGAGATTGACTTATTATCCTAACCCTGACACAAGTACCCATCAAATGCAATGGACCCTATGAAAAATCTCCTTTGGTAATTAACTAATAATTGTTTTATATATTTTTTTTCTCTCCCCTTTTTGACAATTTTTATCCCCTCCCCCCACAGTTGCTTCTGATGCTGATCACTTGGTATCACTAATTGATGAAGTCTCCTATATATCACCACCATCACCACTGCTCTCCCAATACGATGATATACCACCGCATTTGTTCTGCAATGGCGATAATCGTCCCATGGATTGTGGTGAGAACTGTGAGTGTGTCCACAAAATCGATTTACCCCTGAATTCCATTGTGGAAATTATCCTCGTCGATGAGGTGCAACAAATCAATATCAGTCATCCGTTTCATTTACATGGCATGCCATTTTATGTGGTCGGTATGGGTCGATCATTGGATGAGGAGACGCAAAGGATGAGTTTGAAACTGGCCATTGATTTGGATCGTCGTGGCATGTTGGTTAGGAAATTTTTAAAGCCTTCGCTAAGAGATACGGTGCCAGTGCCAAATAATGGCTACACCATTATCCGATTTCGTGCCGATAATCCTGGCTTCTGGCTGTTCCATTGTCATTTTCAATATCACATTGTGATCGGCATGAATTTGGTATTTCAAGTTGGAACGAAAAAGGATCTGCCACCGGTACCGGCTGGGTTTCCCAAGTGTGCTGATTTTAAGCCACCCATCAAATTGTGGTAATTTTGCTTGTGGATCTGAAGACCAAATGTGAAAGGAGGATGATGGTTGCTGGGGCTGCCTGATTTTTGTTACTTCTGTGTGGTTGCAGCCGGGATGGAGTCTTTTACTTAGGTTCTAAAAGCTTTCTTCAAATTTTAGTTAATAATATTATTATTTTTTTATAATTTTGTTTTTATAAATTTAAATTATAACAACAACAATGTATACTAATTAAGAATAAAAAATGTTATTTTATGTGTGTGTTTTACAAAATATATATTGAGTAATTTATAACAAATTCTGTAGCTTAATGTTATTACAATTTTCTTGCTGTGTATATCTGATTTTTAAGTTTTGTTTTTTGCCAAATAAAAGAAAACTTGTTCAATGTTATGTTTGGGAAGGAAATGGCGTTTTAATTAGACCTCAAGGGACCTGACGACATTTTTTCTATAGAAAACCCGACCTCAGGGGACCTGACGACATTTTTTCTACAGAAAACCCGACCTCAGGGGACCTGACGACATTTTTTTCTATAGAAAACCCGACCTCAGGGGACCTGACGACATTTTTTCTATAGAAAACCCGACCTCAGGGGACCTGACGACATTTTTTCTATAGAAAACCCGACCTCAGGGGACCTGACGACATTTTTTCTATAGAAAACCCGACCTCAGGGGTCGGGTTTTCTATAGACCTCGGTATACCTGATGAATTTTTTTGTATAGAAAACCCGACCTCAGAGGACATGACGACATTTTTTCAATAGAAAGCCCGACCTCAGGGGACCTGACGACATTTTTCTATAGAAAAACAGAGCTCAGGAGACCTGACGACATTCTTCCTACGGATTTTCCTCAGGGGACCTGACGACATTTTTTCTATAGAAAACCCGACCTCAGGGGATCTGACGACATTTTTTCAATAGAAAGCCCGACCTCAGGGGACCTGACGACATTTTTTCTATAGAAAAGCAAAGCTCAGGAGACCTGACGACATTTTTTCTACGGATTTTTTTTCTAGACAGACTTTAGGGGTCCTGAAGATTTTTTTTATATAAAAACAGTCCTAGTGGTGTCTAAACAACAAACATAATGGTCAATATTCAAAAAAGGGTTGACCAACAAAAACAACTGTTCCGTAACCATAGTAACAACATACACAAGGAACTAGTATGCGCATAGAAACCCTCTACAAAGTACAACAACTCATTGATCAAAAATAAATTTCATTGTAAAATTCGATAAAGAAAACAATGTCCGAAGAATTACAAAAAGCTGGCCTCTTCATAGATGACATTTACCGATTGCGTGTCCAAGATCCACGCATTGCCAATGAGACAAATGAATTGCGAGAGGAGTGCCTGGAATATGCCAATAAATTGGATGAATTTAAAAAATTGGCCGTGGAATTTGATAAGATATTGAAGAATTACTCAAAAGATGTGGAAAAGGAAAAGTTGCGAGCAATTGGAACACAGAATCGTTTGAAGACAATGGCCAAACAGCGGCAGGCCGAACAGCAATTATATCAGGTGAGATGGAACAATGATTAAATTTTATAACCAATTTTCTAGACACTGGCCGAGTTTCTTGTGACGAAAAAGAAAAGTTTGGGTGAGAGAGGGATGGAAAAGTGTACTGCCTCTTAGCAGTAAATAGCATAACCTAGGGTCGTCCGAACACCTACAAATTTTAATGATAAGATGTTCGTTTTCATCTTATCTTATCTTTCCAGAGTAAAATCCATGAGAAAAACTTGGAATTGGAACGTTTGAAAAGTGAATACCAGTATCTGCAAAGAGTGGAATCGGAACAACAGGAATTAATCAATAATTATTTAATGAATCAATAAAAAAATTATTTTTTTAAATAAAGCTTTGTATGGTAAAAATAAATATATGGGAAAGAAGGTAAGTGTTTGGATTTTGTAGTTATCGATAATTTTAGTATAGAGATTTGGTACCCAATAAGAACCCATTGTACCAAATTACAGTGATATCGGTCGAAAAATGCCCACAAAAATCCTAAATTAACGAAATTTTTGTGGTACCTTGGGCCTAACAGAAAAAATGGACCGATATCGATAATTTTTAGTATGGAGATTTTGTACCCAATAAGAATCCATCGTATCAATTTACAGCGAATTCGATCGAAAAACGCCCTCAAAAATCCTAGAATACCGAAATTTTGGGGGTACCTTTATATGGGGGCTACCAGAAAAAATCGAGCGATATTGATAGTTTTTAGTATACAGATTTGGTACCCAATAACAAACCCATGGTACCAAGTTACAGCAAATTCCGTCGGTAAACGCACTAATAACTCCCAAAATAGCTAAATTTTGGGGGTACATTTATATGGGGGCTACCGGAAAAAATGGACCCCTATTGATAATTTTTAGCATAGAGATGTGGTACCCAATATTAACCCAAAACGCGGTCAAAAACTCCAAAATACCGAACATTTGTAGGTAGCGTTATATGGGGGCTATCCCAAAACGTGAACGATATAGCCCATCTATACACTGGACCTGCCTGCAGACAAAAGACAACCCTATGCAAATTTTCATCACCCTATCTCAATTCTTTCAGAAGATAGCGTGATTACAAAAGACGGGCGAAAAATTAATATACCCTCCCTGGAGGGATCATGTATGTCCTCCAGAAGGTACGTATTTTTCATTAAAGTATTTCTGTCTATTTTATATCAGATATTTTGTTTATTTTTTTAGATAGGGAAAACAGATCTCTGTAGACTTGACGACATTTTTTTCTATAGAAAAACAGACTTTAGGAGAACTGACGTCATTTTTTCTATAAAAAAAGACCTCTGGAGACCTGACGAATGTTTTTCTATAGAAAAACAGTCCTCAGGAGACCTGACGATATTTTTTCCAAAGGAAAAAAGCCTCAAGAGACCTGACGACATTTTTTCTATAGAAAAACAGACGTCAGGAGACCTGACGACATTTTTTCTAAAGAAAAACAGACCTCAGGAGACCTGACGAGTTTTTTTTTCTATAGAAAAATGGATCTCAAACGACCTGAGATTTTTTACAGAATTTGGACCTAGGATGCTGAGAATTTTTTTTCTAAAGAAAAACAGACCTCAGGTGACCTGACGACATTTTTTCTTCAGAAAAACAGACCTCAGGAGCCCTGACGACATTTTTTCTATAGAAAAACAGACCTCAGGAGACCTGACGTGTTTTTTCTATAGAAAAATGGATCTCAAACGACCTGAGATTTTTTTACAGAATTTGGACCTAGGATGCTGAGAATTTTTTTCTATAGTGAAGCACACCTAAGGGTATCTAAGGGATTTTTTCTATAGAAAAAGAGACTCGGGAGAAATAACAAAATTTTTTACAAAAAAAACAGATCTTAGGGGCCCTGATATATCGTTTCCTTGATTACGGAAAACTGTTATTGCGAAGATTCATAATTTATCTCTATTGACAAGCGAAGACTACTTGACTATAAGAAGAAAAAAAGTCGGATTTCGGACAAATATTGGAGCAGATCGAATACTCTATGCATTTGGTTTTATGTTATGGGGGAGATACATTTTCAATCTTTCATTTTTCTTCAAATCTAAAATAATCAATCCTTTTTGCCAAATTTTTAGATCGTAAGCAGTCGATTGGGATATGGGATAAGTTGATGTTTCCTTTTTATTAAAATTTAAACTCTACTATGAATCGGTGATCTAGGATCGCATTTTCGCCGTGGGACTAATTGACTTACTATATTTGATTACGCCGATTTTCTATGGGACACATAAATATATATTTTTTCTATAAATCCCTCCAAAATATATTCGATAATTGGAACCACTTTTTAAATGGTATAGTTTTTTTCTTTTCATTTCATTTTTCTTAATAAGAACATTTCAAAACCAAGACTCACCATTTTCAGACTGCATACTCGGTTGTATACTGCATTATGTTGATTGTTGTTGTTTGTTTTGTACAAATTTATTTCTATTGGATATTGCTAATAAAATTTCTTGCATTGCATTCTTATTTGATAACTTAACACATAATTTCCTTAAGCGACTGAACATTCTTACGATAACAGGCGAAACTGCAGAGAGGTAAATTTGTTTTGGAACAATTATAGACCTTGGGTTGTCCACAACCGGGTATACCACAGAGTTGACGTGGTGGTGGTTCCTTTGGCGCTTGAGGTTTGAAAGGAAACTCCACACCCACGGGTAGGTGAATAAAAGCCCCCTCGGCAGTGTTCTTATAACTAATCACCGGTGTGGCTTCCTTTTGATTTTTTGGTTTAGCTGATGAACGATTTTTACTTTCCTGTTTCTTGAGTAAACGTTCCATGGTTTTCTTTTTATCCTTTTCACGTTTTTCATCTGCCTGCTGTTTACGTTTTAGCGTCTTGAGGGCAGCTTTTTGTATCTCCTCGGCCGTTTGGGGTTTTTCTTTTTCCTTATAGCCGGTGGGTAGGGCAATAAGGGTTTCGGTAAAACCCGGTGCGGAATCTACATCATTATTACGATCATACATGGCCCGTTGACGAGCCGTCATTAATTTGGGATCTTTAATTTTACGCAGCTCCACATCTTCAACTTCTTCCAGTTTACCCGATTCGATGGCGGTGAGCCAACGTTCTTCCTCACTGGAGGTGCCACTATCACGTCTTTTCTTGGATTTTTTGGAATTGCCACCAACAGTTGTTGGGACAGACGATGAGGCGGATGTAGAGGGTTTGTTTGTGGGTGTCGCTACGTTATCCTGTTTTTTATTCGGTTTCTTTGGTTTTTCCACTTTTTCTATTACCTGGCCGGAATCTTCTTCCGCCTTGCTATCATCCACACTACAATCCAGTGTTACCTCTTCCACTTCTATGTCAACATTTTCCTCATCATAGACCATCATGGACGACGACTCGTTTTCGTTCAGCTGCATTTCTTGTGAGAAATTCTCATCCACAATTATGTCCTCCTCGACAATTTGTGGTGCCTCCGCCAACTGCTCTATTGGAGTGGAAGGTTTTTTATTCTTAGACGGCTCCAGTTTGTCTGATTTTTTATGTTTTGTTGAGGATTTATGATGATGTTTGTGTTTCTTGCGAGATTTATCTCGATGTTCCTTGTGGTGGTGGTGTTCTGCACATAGAGAGAATTGCAATTAGTTTTGTTTACATAGGACGAACCGCTGTTGCGTGCTTCTTCTTCTTACCGGATTTTTCCTTTTTACCCATTTTATTTTGATGCTGTATCCTTTTTGTGTTTTTCGTTTTGTTTACCCCAGAAAAACAGACGTATTTTTATCAGCTGTTATTTGTGAGTGTGAGAGAGAAGAGATATGTCAGTTGGCAGAGCAGAAAATACATCAGAACGGCCAGTTAGTTGAGAACGTAACGTAAAGTATGCTATTGTTTACATGGTAAAAAGGCGGGAAATTGGTTATTCGTTGTGATTATGGCAAAAAATTGTATTTTAATTAATTGAGGACTGAATAAGACAGAAATAAAAAATAAATAGTCAAATTTACTAAATTTTGTTTCCATACAAAGTATATTCACCACAAGAGGAATCCAACTAGAATGAAAGCCAGTACCAAATCAATTAAGTTTAAGTCTTCCGAGAAAAAATGATGATGTCAATGTATTTCGAAGGATTAACGATTCATGCGCTGATTCATCTTTATAAACCTCACTTTCACACTGAACACTGGACCCACTTTGGCGTTATGTCAATGAAGGTGAGTACCAAAAATCTTTTCTAGAGTTTTGAAAGCTTTTCTAAAATTGTATTGCATATAGGACATATTGGTCCATATTTTGCTATAGCCGACTTATAACGGTTCCAAACCAGTTGCCTGCAATTTTGTGCATTCCGGGTTATTTGAGGATGAAAATCATCTTTGCAGAAAAATGGTCATGTTTTGATATAAAGGTCACTCGCCATTTTAGGTATTTTCATGGTCCTAGACGAAAGAGTAAATATTTCAAAATAGAATCGTAAAAATTAGGCGTGGTTTTATAAGTAAAATTCGTAAGGATAAACGGACTAATAAGGCGTGGTTTCTATAAGTAAAATTCGTAAGGATCTACTGACCAATAAGGCGTGGTTTCTATAAGTAAAATTCGTAAGGATATACTGAACGATGTGCCGTGTTTTCTATAAGTAAAATTTGTAAGGATCTACTGACGAATAAGGCGTGGTTTCTGTAAGTAAAATTTGTAAGGATTTACTGACGAATTAGGCGTGGTTTCTGTAAGTAAAATTTGTAAGGATTTACTGACGAATTAGGCGTGGTTTCTGTAAGTTAAATTTTGTAAGGATTTACTGACGAATTAGGCGTGGTTTCTATAAGTAAATTGTGTAGCTCTCGCAGGAAGTGCCCTTACCAACTTAAATAAACTTCGAAGATTTACACTATCGGTCCACACACTAATGGTCTAAACAAGCGGGGAAAATTATTATCATTAAGGATACCCTCGATTTTATACAAACTTCGAAGCACATACATTTTTATTATCATATTCGAAGATTGAGGATTATTGGTACACTCCTTCTGGTATATCATATTGTAATATATATGTATATGACATTTATCTAAAATCTGAAAATGTGGATCTATTGGCACTTTTCTTTCTTCAAATTTTGAAAATGCATTTTGTGGAATCTGTGCTAATATTGAGCGAGGGAAGGAACCACCATTACTGGCAACTTCAGGAAAGAGAAATCGGTCTGTGGAAATATAAAAGAAAAGAGAAAACTGGCTTAAATATAGAAACAAATCCTCGGGTTGCTAACAATTTTAATTTAATTTGTGGCCTGACGATTTTTTTCCTATAGAAAAATCTTTTCTCTGGGGCCTACAAAAAAAACTTTCCTCAGGGGCCTGACGTTTTTTTCCCATAGAAAACATCTAAAAATCTACTCTTTTATTGGTCCTTAAAAAAGGCCTTAGGAAAGTATTCTTTAAAAAATCCAGCCTTATGAGGGCCTTAGAAAATTATTCTTTAAAACATGCACGCCTTAGAAAAATATTCTTTAAAAAAATCCAGCCTTATTATTTTTAAAAAATCCACGATGAAAATGCAAATTTATTAGAGGAACTTTGAAAAATTGTTTTTAAAAAGCCCACGCCTTGATAAATTGTTTCTTTTTTTAAACACGTAGCACATTCCTCTTCTGACTGCTGGTGTCGAATTTCCTGCTTCTAATATTAAATTTTTTTCAAGAATTTTCAAGAATAAAAAATCTAAGTTTTTTGGGTACAATAACTTGTTTTTTGTTTTATTTCGTTTCGATTTTTTTTGTATTGATAAAATATTACGTATAGTTGTTTTTGTTTTTTGCATAAACTGTTATAACATATATTGTTGTTGTAGTTTTTTCCTTTATCCACATTCAGGATAATATCAAAAATGAGGCTTCCAAATATGAATAATTTAATGGAAACATCTAACATTTAAATATCCATCAACAATTAACATTTAGAAAAAAATTAGAAAAAAAATTAATACAATTTATTTAACACATTTTTTTGCAAAATGAATGGAAAAAGCGGGCTGGTGGATTGTTGTAATGTTGGATGGAAATTTATAAAAAAAATATGCGTGTAAAATAAGTATAAAAAATATATATGTATGTATGTGTAATGTGATAATATAATATGTGGATGTGTTGTTTTTGTGGAGTTGGAGTTTTGGATTGGGGTGTAAAAAAAAACACAAACTGAAAAAGCAATTCTTGTCATAAATTCTGTTTTACAGTTGTTGTTGCTGTCGTGGCGATGTACCAAATGTCCAGCTAAACATTCTTAGTACATACATGCATGTTGAAAAAATAATATTTTAATTAATAATGATATCTGTTTTTAGAATATATTGTTGTATAGTAACTCCTTCCCCTGCTGCCATCATTGTCCATTTTCTTTGTTCTATTTGCATGAGATGATGGTTGGTTTAACTAGGCCAGTGACTGCTCCTTTTTAGGTTGTTTCCTTGTTTTGTGTTGTTGTTTCAGTTGGTGGTATTTGCAAGTGGTCAAGCATTATGCACTATCACTACCACTTGTCCGCCATAGTTAGGGAAGAATGGGACGCGGTCGCACCACATAATGGGTTACAAATCATGTGGGATTATTACGTTTATTCGAACGCAAACGAGCTAGGCCCGTACGTTCTTCTTCCTCATCGCTGGTGTATTGATGCATGCCGCTGGAACCCGCTCCCGAGGCACCCGACGATGAACCACCACCCGATGGATTACGTACTGAAGAGGTAGCTTGCAACAGTTCTTGATCGGGTGCATTACGATTCTCGTAAAGTAAAACCTGTAAAGTTTCTTCATAGATTCTCGCTTCGGGGAATTCGACCTTTGTATGTTTCCTATCTGTGGCATAAACAATGGAGGTGCAACAAACTTCAGCCACCTTCTTGCCATGTCCATAAAATGACCAACAACATATTTCACTTGGTCCAATGACATCCTTAATGAAGAGTATGCGTTCATTGAAACGTAACGACAGCTTATCGAATAGTTCTATGTTCTTCAGTAAATTATCATCGGAATTACTCGTGTACGAATATTTATTATTTTGCCGTTGTACCACCAAAATCACAGCTGGTTTTGATGATGAACTAATTAACATCTGTTCTTCCTTCTGAGAGGTTATTAGGGGGATACGACATATAGGTTTGGGCTCCTGATGGGCAACCAGAGCTCGTTCACATGACATAGCCAATTCCGTGATACAATAATATTTTGCCTCTGCCAAGAGCTCGGCTATTTCACGATGAGATTCGGGTAATGGCACAGAACCATCTCGCAAGTAATTGAGAATTGTGCCAAAGAATTTGCCACAACGATCAATTAATATCCAACCTGTAAGGAAATAAAAAAAAAAATAGCTTAAGTATAGACAAAATTCCTCGAGGTTCTAATAAATGGCTCCTATAGATGAAGGCATAACAATTGTCCCACGACAATTGACGATTTTTTTCTTATAGGAAAAACTCAGGGCCTGACAAACTTTCCTCATAGGCCTGACGAATTTTTTTCCTATAGAAAAAAAAATTTCCTCAGGTGCTGGCGAAATTTTTCCCCGTAGCAAAAACTTTCCTCAGTGCCTTGACAATTTTTTTTCCTATAGAAAAACATTTCCTCAGGGACCTGACGAATTTTTCATATAGAAAACAATTTCTTCAGGGCTCTGTCGATTTTTTTCATATAGAAAAAAACTTTCCTCAGGGCCTTGACGAACTTTTCCCTATAGAAAAAAACTTTCCTCGGGGCCCTGACGAACTTTTCCCTATAGAAAAAAACTTTCCTCGGGGCCCTGACGAACCTTTAATGTTGAAAAAATTCCTTAGGGCATTGTCGAATTTTTTTTTTCATATAGAAAAAAACTTTCCTCAGGGCCTTGAAAAAATATTCTTTTCCACGCCTTGTGTAGAGCTTTGAAAAAAAAACTTTCCTCGGGGCCCTGACGAACTTTTCCCTATAGAAAAAAAACTTTCCTCGGGGCCCTGACGAACATTTTCCTATAGAAAAAACATCAATCACATAAAAAATAATCTTTAAAAAATTTACGCCCTGTGATAGTCATAGAAACATAATGGCTCTTGAAAATTTTCAAACTTACCCTCCGAATCTGTTAGCACTTCCATGCGACCACTAAACATTGCACTCAGCATTGTGTCATTGTGTTTTGTCAATGTTCCAATTGTCGTATAATACAAACGGCCACCCACATTTAACTTCACATACTGGGAACTATGGCCCTTAATTAATGTCTTCTGATCACCGGACATATTATTGGAATTTGTACGCAATACAAGTTCGTCACAAGGATTTGCAGAGATTTGGAGTTTCGACTCCAAAGCACGTGTAACAGGAACTAAACAATTGGACGATGATGAAGCCTTGGCATTATTGCTGCAAACGCTGCCAGAGGCGTTGCTGCTGTTAGTCACCAACGACGGTAGAGTAGCAATTTTGATAGTTTTTGATGAAGTTCTTCACAAAAATAAAAGTGGAAATTATTTGAAGAAATTTTGTTTTGATTAAAGTTTTGGTGTTCTATTGGTTGTGTAAACGCCCTTTTTCGTTTCGTCAATTCTCGGAAAAAATAAAAAAACAGAAGATAACAACACAACACAATTATCAAATGAAGAGAAGTAATCAACAATGGTTTGTTGGTGATGGAGTTGTGGGTGTTGTTACTCTGTCACGTTGGAGGTTTTGTTCGTTTTGCCAATGATTCACTCAGCCTGCAAATGGTTTACGTTGTCATTTGTTTGGAACATCACCGTCTGCGATTTATTTTTTGTTATATCAATTGTTTATTGTTTTCCTTGAGATTTGATTGAATTTGTTTGATAAGCAATTAGAGATGTGTCGTACCGAAATGAACCACCTCAAATGACACATGTATTCATTGAAATGAACTAGAGGGGATTAGATGTAAATCAAAGAATGATGACAAATGTTGGTTATCTCTTTGTTTATCGTTTGTATGGAGAGAGAAAAATTAAATAATATATACATAAATTAAAATATTAAATTACAAATTTTTATATATTTCAGAATTCATTATTTAATCTGTCTGGTATTAAATTTCAATTGAACCATTGAACTACTACAGTGACACGTGAACCAGTGTTTTATTTTGATTGTTCATGAGTTTGGCCAACAAGACTTCTTCGCCATTTTGATTTTCTCCAACGAACCTATCTACAAAAAAAGCGTTCCGAACTTTATAAATTAGAAGTCAAAGCAAAAATTATGATAAAATTGGGTGTAAAGTAGACATAACGTGTAAGATTTTCTGTTTACGAACGGCCAAAAAAAGAAAATGGCCATCTCATTTGTTTACGAATGCGATGTGGGAAAATGCAATCAGCTGATTGCATTGGCGGAATTTATTTCGTTGAATTTAAAATGTCAAGACAAGGGATTTTGTAGGACGACGGCTGCACATTATCAAATACGATAATAAATATTATGAAGGTGGAATTGTTACGAATTTTAAAATCATTCTGTTCCGAATTATATCCAAAAGCGGTGTTTCAAATAACAGATATAAAAATAGTGGTATTTGAAAAATAATGGTATTCATATAGCGAATTTGAAGTAACAGATTTCCTGGTGGCCTTTCACTGCGAAATGATAGCCCATTTTTTCGTAGTGTTTTTAATGTTATTTCCTGTCAATGTAAAATATTTCGAATTATTTAATTGAATTAATTAGTATGATGCATATGTTTACATATGTATATATACAGCAAATCGAGATGTACAGGAGTCAGAACAAAGTCCGAAAATTTTACCAAACACCAAACTGAAGGCTTTGGTGCAGGCACATCCTCCTGTAGAGATGAAGAAGGAAACTTGGTGGCAGATACAGACGGCGTGTTGGGGATATGGAAGGAGCATTTTAAAAAGCTTCTAGTATCACCTAGTGGCGGTGTCCAATATACCCCAAAAACAATAAGATATGACGTTATAGTGTTGACCACATAGCCTAGATGAGCTCAGCATAGCAATCAATCAGCTGAAGAATAATGAAGCAGCAGGTACCGATGGTTTGCCAGCCGACCTATTCAAGACCGGTGATCAAAATTTGGTCAGGAGCATGCACCAGCTGATTAGTACAATTTGGCTAGAGAAATGCATGCGCAATGATTGGAACCTCAGCATCCTGGAAATCCCTGAAAAGACCCACGAAAAACACATCGACACATTTCACCTATACGTCGGCTATAAAGCCGCATTCGAAGCCCTAGAGGTGTTTAAAGCCTGCGTTCGACAGTGCTGTTAAAGTCAGAAATGTCATTTCGTTCGGGTTCAGGCAAGGCAAACTGTTTGTCGTGTGACCAAATTAGCATCCTGCTGGAAAAGGCAGGGACCGAAAATAACAGTTATTTTTTAAAATGCGAACAAAAAAATCTTCATGTTAGAGACATGGGACACCAATAGTGTCACATACCAATAGATTCGTACTGAGGAGCCCATTAAGGATATTGAGTGATCTTGAGAAAACACTCTCAGTTCCCATGTTAAGGATTATTTTTTAACGGAAAAAATAAACGTTGATTTTTAACTGTTAAAAATTATTTTTATTTTTTCCGTCAAAAATAAAAGTCTTTTTGTGAAGGTAAAAAATATTTGTTATAAATTTTTAAAAAATAGTCTAGTGTACCAAATCATGAATATAAATTAAAGAATCATTCCCCTGACTATTAGGTCAAATGTTATATAACTGGTACCAAACTCTACATGTTTATTTACGTAAAAAGACTTTTATTTTCTGACGGAAAAAATAAAAATCACAAAAAGACTTTTATTATTGACGGAAAAAATAAAAGTCCCAAAAAGACTTTTATTTTTGACGGAAAAAATAAAAATCATTTTTAACAGTTAAAAACCAACTTTTATTTTTTCCGTCAAAAAATAAATAATTAAAGTGGATTTTTTTTATTTAGGTCACATAATAACAGTTATTTTTTACCTGATTTGATATAAGTTATAACCGTTACGGTTCCTGGGAAAAGGTAATACGATGTAGTCATGCTTTTTATATACACCTATATTTTAACCCATCTGTAAAGATGTCCCGCCTTCGATAAGAAATACCTGTCTTCAGCTACTCCATGAAAAATATTTGCTTTCTGCTCGTATTTTAAAGCCTTTCTTCGCAACTTCTATAATTACTAAATTTGCTTTTTTCAGTTTTTCTGATATTTGTATACTCTCTGCCATAAGCCGAAATGTTGTATTTTCAAAAATAGAGATTTTTATTAAAAAATATAGTTTATCCTATAAATGTATTAACATATGTACATACATATATGTATACAAATTTGTTTTTACAAATTGTGGATACACTAAAAATCATGAATTTTTATTCGATTTCGATTTTTCTGCAAAGATAATAAATATTAATTAGAAGATATTACTTCAATTTTAATAGAAACTGAAATTAATTTTGTTAAAATTTTTACTTACTTTTCAGCTCGAATACACTCAACAATTCAGCTATGGGATATTCAACCAAAATGGCAATGAAAAATGATGCAATAGCTCCTAACACGTAAGTTTTGAAAAATAATTTAACCTAAAATTATTTGGAAAAAGAAAAATATTTTTTTTTGTGTTTTCAGGTAGACTATTTATAAGAATGTTGCTGAAATTATTGGATCGTATTATGAACTTATTATCTTCAAAAAATTGAACAGTTAGAATCAAAGCTTTCTTCCGTAACGAATTAAGAATTAAGGCAAAATCACATTGTCAGATACCACAGTCGAAATAACTCACTGCGACGATCATTAGACAGGCGAAATGGAACGCTATAAATGATATCAAGTAAATGGCGTATTTTTTTCTTCAGAATTTAAATTACCGTCGTCATGATGTTATTATGAACGATTCCGACTGTATTTTTCATAAGTTCCGTCTTAATATTGACTTACCAGAAACATTTGTGAGACTTCTATGGGCTTGTGTGCACTGGCAAGTATTGTGAATAAAATTATAAAATGCCAGAGATAAACCTGATACGAAATTCGTGCCAGAGGACGAAATATGGGCCAGGTAAGGAAACCTAAAAAAATTTCATTCATATATCCGATTAAAGGCGGTTGTAGTGAATTACTTTAAATCCAAGAATTAATTTATTATTCCTTATTATAGTTCCGTATATCTGATGTTTTTTATAACTCTTTTTATTTATTTTTTTTAATTTTTTACCTACCTCCTCCGTTACACATTTTGTAGATAATAACAATTGTGGCGACAATTATCAACGACACCGGTCTATGTGGTATAGCATACAATGCAGTCCATATTGATGGTTCTGCAAATAATAGCTTGGAACCCAAATACCATATAGCGGCTATAATTATCCATCCATATGGTATAAAATATTTAATGCGTTTTCCAACCAGATGTCTATATTTATCATATTGTAAGTATTTCATATATAATTCACCACAAATAATGCCAATAAAGAAACCATTCATATTACAGAAGGGATTCAGATAAACATATTCCCCCGTCTCAACACCCTTCAAATAGATGTGGCGATAATTTCTGAAAACAAAATAATAAATAACTGGGTGAGTAAAATAAATAATTGCTGATAAACTGAGAGATAGAGAGGTGATTTAAAAGCTTTGGTTAAAATTTGATTTGTGCGAAATTGGCTGCGATTTTATCAAAATTCGTAGCTGTATATAGTTTCATTCATAGCTGTATATAGTTTCTATATGCAGACAAACTGTGGATAGTCTCTGTGGAGGATCTGAGACTTTATAGGAATCCTTCTTTCTATTGATTTTTTATTTTCTAGTAGAATATTTCTATTTTCAATATTGGTTTTTATAACTTACTCAATATTACAGGTACCAATCGATTGTAATTTCATTACATAGCTAACTATTGTGGGAAGTAAAGCTCCAACTGTGCCAATAATTGCATATAGGCCCACTTTATATTCGGGATATCTGAAAGAATTAAATATTTTATTTTTAAAATATCGTAAGGTACGAAATATGCATTACTTACTTGGCGCTTAAGACTAATAAGGCAAGAAATATTGCATATAATTGAAAATCGGCAGCTATATACCAAGTGTGGACCCAGCACTAAAAAGGAATGAAAACAAAAACAAATTATAAACATTTATTCGATATACATGAGTTCATTGATGTTGGACTGAAGGCAGAGTGTTTTTATGGGCTGAAGGGAGTCTTTATAGACCAGCTGAAGGGAGTCTTTATAGACGACCTGAAGGGAGTCTTTATAGACGACCTGAAGGGAGTCTTTATAGACGACCTGAAGGGAGTCTTTATAGACGGGCTGAAGGGAGTCTTTATAGACGGGCTGAAGGGAGTCTTTATAGACGAGCTGAAGGGAGTCTTTATAGACGAGCTGAAGGGAGTCTTTATAGACGAGCTGAATAGACGAGCTGAAGGGAGTCTTTATAGACGAGCTGAAGGGAG